ACATCGAGGGGCCGGCCCTTCTCCAGACTCAGTTTATCGAGATCGGGAAGGAGGCCGTTCGCATTGTTTTCACGGTCTCCGTTTTCACGGTCTGAGTACACTGAACTAATGGCCGAGGATGGATCTGACGAGCCCTCCGGCTGTCGGAGACCCATGGCGAAATTGGCCGTCGAGTATGTTGGGTTTGAAGAGGCTGATCCGTTGGTCTGAATTTGTAGACTGGGCACACTTTTACCTCCCCCTAGGCCATTTGTACTCAGTGGGGGCGGGGCTGGTCGACCGTTCGGCATGAGGGCTGGCTGGGATACATTCTGCTGACTGCCCATAGGAGTTGCGAGATGTAGTCGTGGTGGTGCTGGTCGACCCGACGGACGAGGTTGGGGTTGGGGTTGGGTTTGGATTTGAGGTACTTGGGCGGGGGTTGCATTGCCGTTGACAGGTTTGGCGTTGGGTGAGGGGGGGATGCCTAACGTGAGCTTCGGGGCTCGTGGGCTGCCATTATTGTTGCGACCGCCAGGAACTGGAGGACGAAGAAGAGGAACAGGGGACGACATGGCGAGATTGTTTTGCCTTTCCCCAGGCAAGAACAACTCGTTCGGATCTGCGAGAGTAGCCACAGTGTCGGCCTTGGACCAGTCCGCCTTGGAAAGTCCTGAGGTGAAGAAAGACGGATGTTGGAATGAACAAAGATAAATGCAAGGCAGGACAGAATTCAAAGCAAAGGCAAATGGCACAGGTAACGGAAGTAGAGGCAGAAGCAGAAGCAGAGGCAGAGATAAGGTAGAGAACAAACGAGTGGAGTTGGAAGTTACCGAGAGATGCGGCAGGTGACCTATTACTCCACCATATAAGAAAGGAGTCCTTTCGTATTTTGTAAATATCAAGTAATTAAGGTCAAATGTGTCTTAAGTTGAAAAACTCTTGATCTCGAGAGAGAATATTCATCGACGATAGAGGTCGGGGCAGTGGTGGGGCCTTGATGTTTCAGAAGGCGCCTGAGGTGAAACATGTGTCTACAGAGTCGGAGTACTCCGTACAGTTATATCTCTCTTTTTGGAAGGTTGAGTTTGTCGATTCTGTCGATTCTATCGATTCTGTTCTGATTTTGTTTCTTTTGATATCAACAGAGAATTCTCCGAGTACCATGGTTCATGTTTCTCGCCCCTTCCGGGGTTTTATACATGTGTGTATACAACTACATCAACATCAACATCTATACTCTACATTTATCTACAAGACTACGCGAGATCAAAATCAAAATCTACATAGAACTTACAGAGTAGAACAGTAACTTACGTTGTTGCCTTGGAGCCGCAAAATCAACTGGGCACGCCTACAGGCAAACGGTGGCGTCGGCCAGCACATACAAGATCCCCCACCTAAGGACCTATCACAGGTTATGTCTCACCCTATTATATAGCCTTACAGAAGTACTTTTTTTTCGTAGATGCACCAGTTTATACCCAGTTGTACCCAGTTATACCCAGTTATACCCAATTGTATATATCCAATTATATCTATTTCAATATATCAAAAATAACATAGATTAACTATACTCCGTAAATATGTCATTGAGGGGCTAAATCCAAGCTAAGTCCACTATTTTCGGAAAGATGTGGCTTAGCTCGAATCTGCCACGCAATTCCCGATGACATAGGTCCGGAAGCCCTACTCGATCCGCACCAGTAACATTTCAGTTTCCAGAATATATAGGGTCACAGAGATATATACAAGCGTTTAATTCCATCTAAATTAGACCTGATTCTTACCGGTGCCAAGTCCCATAGATGAAGTTAATCTGAATATTGTGTTATACAAGTGGTAAATCTCGATATGTTGTACTATTTGATGGTACAGTAGTTGTGATATATACTACGCACAATGTGGACGCTATCGGTACTCTGACGTAGCCAATATGAAAAATAATATCATGAAAATGTCTTGATTGTGTACTTGCTTTAAAAGCTTGTTTATACTAATAATCCTGATAGTGTAGTCCCTATGACGCTCAAATGCAAACAGAGGGGTAACCGAGAATTTCGCGTGTGATGAAAAATAGATCCAATGCAGCTTTGGTCTCACCGGCTCTTCAAGGGTGACCATACTGGTAATAGAACCAATTGAAGGTCATGGCGATCACCGATCCATAATCAACGAACAATTCGTAACGCCGCATTTGAAAGGCAACGCACAGAGCAGCCAATTCTTCTAAACTTTTCAAAACAGGCCATATTGTATGATCTTCCACGGGCGTTGTCTTGTATAACATGGTACCACCGAGCCCATTGTGGCACGAAAAAAATCGTCGTCGGGTATGTTGTGTATCTGGATTTCATACTGAGTATTTGATAGGAACAAACCTATCGAGTCTATATAGTTATTATTATTCTGGGTGCCGCTCGCTTGTGTCATCAGCACTAAAAATGACGTGTCGATGCTGATCGGTCGGGCTGTGTGGCAGACAGGTGATTGTGATGGCGATCACATAATATCAAATACTGCTGAGTTGAGGATTATCGACGCGAGGGGTGGATGAAAGCAGTCTCGTAAGGACGTGGAATTGATGTCTTTGGGCACGAAGGACATCATCCTACAATGTAGATCGGTCAGTGTATTGCGAGTGGGAACGAGCCCAATAAATTTCTCATATCAACGTTCAAGCCATTGAGTACTCCGTAGTCAAGAGTTATACTTAGAAAAGTCGCTTGCACAAATTAAGCCTTTTTTTTGCCGTACAAACTGAGACATCTGAACAGAATGATATCTGAGAAGACCACAGAAAGACCACTGGAAAGACATCACAAGGCTGCTCATGCGGCCGACGATTCAAGGCTGTAGAAGTTCACTTGGATGTAATTCACGAATCTTTCGACTTCAACGACGTGGAGAGGGTACCACATAGGAAATGTCCATGGACTCCAAGAATACAGTTTGACCGGTGAGTTCAAGCGAAAGCCCCCTCCCCTGAACATCGACTAGGGACATCCTATGCGATAGGCGAGGATGAACTTCGGAAAAAGTCCAGTTCCACTCAAATCATGATCTCACGAACCCCTATCATTGACAGTATGGTTCAACGTTGTGCTATATATAAAACGCGCTCCACCAATAATTATATCCCACAAAGCTAATTCTAGCTAAAGATAGTACGCGGTACATATGTATGTCAAAGAGGAGTACGGAGTTACGGAGTATGGGGTTGATAAGAGCACGACCATATAAAGTATGTTGGAGCAATCCATACGGAGTAGAATTTACCGATCTATTGAAAAAGGGGCCATGAAGCGCACGAATTCAATAGCGGCATGTGGAGTCTGGGGGCGCCACGAGGCCTACGGAAATCGATTTATGTGAGCGACCCCTATAATGGAGTCGGCCATATCATAGAGTCGGGACAACGAATCGGTCCAAATTTAAAGGTATAAACCCGGGCGAAACGTTCATTGGCTATGTAACATCGTCCATGGGTATCCTAGGCTATGTTGTAGGTGAACTCCGTACCCTGACTTGCCGCGGTGGTCGAACCGCTTCGAGAGTCTGATCCATGGTCTCGGCTCAGGAACAGGATGAAGATCAACACGCTTTGACGCTGGTGCTTGTACACTCCATATTACCTATTTCAGGGTCAGTATATGTAAGCAGATACAAAAAGTAAAATCGATACCGCCGATGTAACGAATTAAAAATACTGTATAGGCGCCATGCCACACCCAATCACACGGCTCGATCCTATTTCTCAAAATTGCGTAGCATTTGACTCCCTCGAACAAAAGCACGAGATGCAAGCATCGTCAAGCACTTTACCCGGAACTAAAGTAATGCGGTCTAGCCGTTAAGGCATGAAGCGAGACTTTTCCATTGCGGGGACAATTCGCAGTAACTCGCGCAGTGGCGTTCTGTGGGCTTATTGGCTTGTTTTAGTAAAATTGGCCGACTATATATATATATGATATTACAGCTTTTTACTCGATGATTACAGAGTACTAGTAAGAGGCATTCCTTCGACTACATCGGCATTGTCAATACAAGCCTCGATGATATACAGACACAGCCCTGTAACACAGAATATGATAATAGTTCAAAAAGGTGTAAATAAAAGGTACAGTAATAATACAAAGGATGTCTCGGCGCTTCGCTCCGACACAGGGTAGAAAGTGGGCTGAAATGAACATCCGGAGTAAGAACCAATCCGATTTCACAAGTAAAGTGTACATCATCGTGGATTCGCCCTTACACAATATGTTCTCTTGGCGAAATAAATGGCGGGTTATTCAGGGGTAAGGTGGAGATGAGAAAGACCCACGGGGGGGGGAAACGTTACAATTGGGACGCCAGGAACGGGTAGTGGATCAATGCGGTCTTTTGAAACATCAGGGAAAAACATTGAGAGAGAGAGAGAAAAGATGTATGTTGTAGAGTAATACTCTTCATTCTAGTGTTCAATTTTTTTACATATGTGTAGTGATCTGCTTTAAATATATTTGATATAGGTGTTCGTTCATCTCAAATATAAGTTGATCGTCATATAACATTAGGAACACTAGCGGGTCAAAATTACAAGTCAAACCTGTGTATTGAGAAACAACTGATAATCCAACCAATCAAATAATTCAATAAATGAAGGCTGTGCGAAGGTCAAGTTCCGAGTACATGGCAGGTTGCGGTGTGTGTTAGTGGTGGATTAAGTACCCAGTACCAAACGGTCTTTGTTATTTTCCCCTTTTTTTAGGGCCAAAATTAGTCCCCAAAATGGTCCAAAACAACGAGAAGCAAGTGGCTGCTGATCTCGACACTAATCTCCCCGTTCATACAAAGGCCCCCTGCCTCCCCCGTGCTGTTTCTGTTTCTTTCTTCTCTCCAAGTACATTCTTCGCAAATTTCACTCTCTATCGACTTCGGTCTTCCACTCTTTAAAAACCCACACTCTCTTTCAAAAGCTCTCGCTTTTTATATACCTTTTTGAACATCACTTTTTACGTTTTTCGTACATAACATTCAAAATGCGTTTCACTGCTGTCGCTGTTGCCTTCTTCGCCGGCCTGGCCATTGCTGCCCCCGGTGCTGACCAGACCGTCTACGAGACCGAGGAGGTTACCATCACCTCTTGCGCTCCTACTGTCACCGACTGCCCCGGCAACGGTGCCGGCGTTGAGCCCACTGCCAGCACCACCCCCACCAGCGTTCCCGTCGCTGTCACCTCTTCCGCCTCTTCTGCCTGGACCTCCGTCCCCACCGGTGTTGCCCCCAGCTCCAGCTCCAGCTCCAGCGCCCCCGTCGCTCCTCCTGCTGAGACCGCTCCCGGCTCCTCCGTGATTGCCATCACCACCTGCATCCCCACCGTTATCTACTCGACCGTCCCCGTTGCTCCTACTTCCTCCCCCGTTAGCAGCAGCGTCATCCCCCACGGCCCCACCGGTGGTGTCCCTCACGTGCCCTCCGGCACCAAGGGTGTTCCCTCCGGCACTGCCTCCGTTCCTGCCTCCACCTCCTCCCCTGCCTTCAACGCTGGCTCTGCTCTCAGCGGTTCCATCGGCTTCGCCGGTGCTGCCGCCGCCGCTGCCTTCTTCCTGGCATAAATGACTTCTTCCGGATTGGTGATGCACTTCTGCACCTAGTTGGATCCCCTGGGTCTACCCCTGGCGTGGTTGTGTCAAACTGGAGATGTTGGATAGAGTTGGTATGAGAAGAGGATAGTGTTATTTAGGGTTTCTGGTGATTTACTCTTTAACAATTGTTGCTTTCTGACTGGATATGTCTATCCTTTTTTTGCTTTTTGATATACATATTTCTCTTTTATTTCTTCTCGGGCTCTCCTGGATAGCTTCGGAGTTGTGTGAAGCTCGCTTGGTAGCTTGAGCACGACCTTAATGTAAACCATGACAGCTTTTCGCATTCTCCCTCTCTCCAGCGCCTGTAGTCTATTTGGAATGTATCATTTTTCCACTTTTATAATTCAATAATTCAATAATTTGTTTATAACTTTTCATGTGAACATGTTCATTATAAAATCTGGAGTATTGATGGGGAAATGTTTCTTAATCTTGGACATTCTTATGTTCTATCCTTGCCCCTGACTCCACGTGCCTTAAATCTTGTACTTCCTAGGGCTGAATGTGCCACTTGCTATCGTAAAGTCAACTGGCTAAAATTCAAAATTCAAATCCAACTACTTAATCCAACCAACTACCCGTGGACTATCACTGCTGATTGCAAGTCCATAGTTGAATCTGAACTGCTATAAGCCTCACAACCGCAATACTCACGATTCAAATCGATTTTACCGAGTGTATATATCCTATTATATATGGAAATGTCGACATCTTTCACTACCTATGTCCTAGTATATCTTGTGGTTAAGTCTTATTTCCTATCATTCTATACAATCGCTATTTAACTAGTATACTGTATGTCCCGAATAAAAGCACATGGAAAACGGACAGCCAATTCTACGTTACCAGCTATCAACCAAATGTTAATAGATTTTGGTTCCGTCATATTTACAGCTCTTCTGATGTCCCACAACATTGAGTGAACTATATAAAGTGTTTGACCTTCGAAGAGCTTGCAATTATAGACTATCTTGGAATTTACCTTGACACATCCTTTCGGGCATCCAGATACCTTGCAAAATGTCCGATCTACATCAAAATGGGCCCGAACTTGATTTGGTGGGCTTACCTCCATCTGTTAGACGGTATGTCTACGAAGGAAAAGATCAATTTTTTCGAATACTTCAACTTGAACGCAAACGCCTGCTCGATTCAATGCGCAATTCTCATAATATCACCGACACCCATACCGAATCTGGCAACAACAGACCAGAGAAGATTGAGATCACCGAATACATTATCTTCTCAATAAACCCCACCACTTTTCACCAGGATTTCCTCGGACCGGACCCTATCTCTCTCTTTTCAATCCGAGCATCTTTCAACCCGAGAACCGGATTACTTATCGTCAAGATGATCACTGGTATGCACACTGCATTTGCCTTCGCTATCCAAGACGAAATCGACAACGCCTTAGGGCGCATGGGCCTTGATGAAGCCATTTATCTCTATCACGGTGTCAGCTTCGATATTAATGGTCAAAATAAAGAGGCAGACATGGCTTGGGGGCCAAGACGACTCCCTCACAGTTATCCTAAGCGGCCCACGGTGCTCCTCTAAGTCAATATATCAGAGACTGAACGGAACGTCCACCGTGATATTGACCTTTGGCTGGACCCTCATCGAGGGAAAGCTAATGTTGCCATTACGATCAGGATCAATCGCCAGCGGCCCATGATTAGTATTGACAAGTGGATGTGGGATTCAAACAATGGCACATCCCGAAGATCCCAGCATATTGAGGCCTCAGAGGACAAGATGGGTGAAGTCAAAGTTTCTGGTGGTCCCCTTATCATCCCATTTCGTTTCTTTTTCCTACGAGACCCAGATCCCCGAACACGAGAGACCGACGTGATTATCGACAAGGAATGTTTGCAGAGTATGCCCAAGTGGGGATGGGAGGATGTGCGATTTGCATACCCATACATATTCCGATCACCTGGTCCCTCAATCAATTGCTAGACATCGGCGTTAATCACCAACAAAGCTTTTCAAGTTGTCATTTCCGAAAACAAAGGGGCTGCTAGTGACGATCGTGAGAACGAAACGCACTACCCGCCGAGGCTCACTGGGAAAACAATGGCATATTTTGCTGGTTTGACGATAAGCTGATCTACTTGTAGCTGTACGAAGTAAACGATTGGCAGCCAAAAATAGAGATCCCCACCATTTTGTGAGCTCAGTAACTGAATTGGAAATCGGCTTGTTCATTGAGGATCGAAAGGCCTGCCACCCTCGAATCAAACGTCTATCAATGCCACTTGCACACTTCCAGAAGAAGAAGATCAAAGCAATGCTCGATGTCCGTGATTTCTCTTAGACTTCAACGCATATCGTATCCGAACTCAGAATACGGGGATTTTCGAGAAGCCCCTTCTCAAATACGGATATCTGGAGTACCCGGCGACTTGGCCTTCGTATATGCCCCATTTCTACTTTCCCAAGACAAATACAAAGCTCGAAGAGTGTCAGTTGAGGTCATAGCAATGATACTAAATGCATAACCCCTGTGGGGATATATTTGGACCCCAAATTGTATCCCGCGCAACTAATCAATTTCGGGACTATGGTGGGGGTTTCTCTATCCTTTGTTTTATCATTGTGGGACTCCGTGACCATTGCCCTGAAAAGGAGCTTTTTGATTTGCTTTTGGGTATTTGATTTTTAAGTGACAACTTGAGGATGCTTGATGGGCAGGTAAAGGATCAAGGGCGTTCTTTTAGCCCCTGACGACACCGTGAACTGCCTGTAAATCCTTTGACTGCTTTGTTATACACAAAATGTATTATATTCTCTTTTCCGGGGAAGAGGGACTGTCATTTTAGACCTCTTTGTCCTCGGAAAGAGCCTTTCATCTTGGGCAAGTTTCTTTTTATATTCGCCTTTGGATACGAGCCTTCTATGACGATCTACTATCGAACCCTAAGCATAGTTCGTGTCTAAAAATAGTATACCAAGCCATACGATATATGATCAACTTCTCAAAATCCTTATTATTGCGTCGCACAATGCTTTTTTGTCCTTCTCAGCGACGAGCTTCCGAACCTCCCAAACCACCTCCCGACCTCGATCCTATCATGGATCTCTCATCCCTCGAGGGCGCGCCAATGGTCAATCCAAAATTCATTGTTCCGCCAGATCCGCCTCTTCCTCATATTCAAGCAAACTCACGTGCTTCCATTCAATATTTGCTCGCAAAGCCTTTGCCAGAAAGGCCCTCTTCAACAGACGCTATCTCACCAACACAAAATTGCAACGGATTACATGACTGGCAACACAATCGCTCTACAATCGGTGGCAATCTAAGACGGGCTTCAGCCCGTAGACGTACGCGCCATCCACTAGATGAAATATCTCCCAACGATGATCAAGATGAACGCGAGGTGCGCTCACGTTTACAAACTCCACATCACCCCGTACGATCAAGGAGCTGTGTGCCCCTCACCTGGCTCGAAGATGAAAAGAAATGGATCGTTGGAGAGATATACGTGTCACCGACACATGATTCTCGGTCCCAAGATGATTTAGCGTCTCGTTCACCAGTTTCTCCGATATCGCCTATTTCACCATACACACCGTGGCAGGATATCTTTCAACGACTCGATGAACACATCGAGTTCAATAATCGTCTTTGTCGGGAGAATCTGCTGAGCCAGCCCCCGCCCTATGAGAGACACAATTTTGATCAAACACATGATACAGATTATAGAGATGATCGGGTTGCTAGGTGGGTTGCAAATACTCGGAGGATGCATGATGATCGGCGGAATTGGTTGTGACTTGGCGTGATACCGCTTTGCTTGGCTGGCGTTACATATAGGCTTTTCTGATATGTCAGGGAATATATTGGTTTGGGGCTTGGCTTACACTTCTATGAGATAGATAGGCAATGAGCGAAGCAGTTTAAATTCCCTCTGAAACGGCTTTTTGTAGAAGAACCCCAGAACTGGGTATAAAGAAAGGAACGGTGATGACATCCCTCCTTTGCTAATTTATTCCAATGGTTCAAGGTGGTCATGATTTCAAATTATAAAGCTCTGATCCACATACCAGCCTTACGGATTTGCATCCTTTCCCCCCTCCTGTTATAACGAGTCCCAACCGTTAGCTTATGCATTGATCGCTGGGGTTTTACCTTTTGTTCAATACTATATACATCCCGAGAGGATAGTGATGATGGATGCCAAGGGAATAAAAGAGCGGGCTTCTAACGTAACACGAGAACCAAGCGTACAAAGACTCGATCAAAGACATAACAAGGCTATTTTGACAATAAAGAGACTTTGTTCCCCTCCATGTCTGGATTTCATTGTATCTCGGTGTTCACTATATAATAGACTTCCTCTCAGGCTCGTTAGCTATAAAAAGCATCTATACCCCCATAGGAAAAAGAATAGAGCCTCGCAAACAAGGGTCAAGCGCCCCCAAGTCCATTCAATCAACTAACATCTCTTAGAAAACATGGGACAATACAGTGTGTTTGTCGTACCCTCTGAGTATTTAGAGGAGGTGGAGGGGCTTGAAGATGAAACCTGGCTCACCACAGGCCGTCGGATCTTAACGGATCCGGACAACGACGAAGCTCACTGGATCACCGTGATTCTTCCTCGAGAAATGGACAATACCCATAGCGATGAAGATATCATGAAGCATGTACTTCATAACATCCGGACCCGGCGAGCCATCGTGAGTGAAGTAGCACACCATAACCTAGGAATGATTTGCATCTCGATCCCGGTCCCGCTTAGCACTGTTAGCACCACTACAGTTTTGGCTCGCGCCGAGAATGATGTGAACAAGTGGCTGGAACTAATTCGTGATGGGTTTGTTACTCTTGACCGTGGGGTGATCTTTGGGCGTCGGTAATCCGGTTGTTTAGCCGTAGCAGTCTAGAGATAAATTAGCTATATTGCCGATACTAGAGAGATGATCATGTGAGAAATCTGGAAAGAATTAAGGAATATATCATTATTGAGTCGGATGATGTCCCGGTAGAAGCTTTGTTATTGGTTCCTCTTAATATTGGCTTTTAGATGGGAATGCGCTACCGGAACAGGGGTTATGGGCCCATCCCCACTATCAAACGCCGGGAGCAATATCAAATTCAATCAAAGAGAGGCCCGGGGCCCTGGGGCTTTCGATGTTACTTTGATAATGCGCTAGTTTACTCATTTTATAATGTTCGCAGCAAGGAAACGATTGTGTTCCGTGAGCTCAGAGCTACGACAACGACAGTATGGTAGCCCTAGAAAGGATATAGATACCTTCCAAGGTTGATTCAATAGCCCTGGAGTTATCAAGGAAATTTGTCATTCTGCTGTTTCTCCCTTTTGACGATATTATAGCCCTTTTCAATTTCTGGTCCACTAGTCCTTGTAATAACTTATTTCAATTTGCCTCACTCTATTCCTTTTTTTCAGCTTCTTTTGGGTATATTAGACTTTGCTGACACTGTAAGACAGTTGTTCACCTATGTTTCGGCCAGAGGCATTTGTATATCAGACGAGTCCTAACGGAGCCAAGACTCACTTGATACGTATCAGTATGTCCCCGCATGGGACAGCCGAGATGTAGCTGGATTGGTCCAGACAGGATTGATGTGAGTAATAGTGTGAGTAATATAGACAGACTCTGATGCAGGGGCTCCCCTCTCTGAGACGCCAGTCACGCTGTATGCCTGTCACCCGTCAGCATAGCAAACTAGCAAACTGCATGTTGGATCCACTGCTCCACCGCGAGTTATCGATAGCCTCGCTAACCATCCCTGCAGGTTCCGTTGAGGGGGCAATGAGATTGAAGGATGAAAATAAGAAGATGGAAGATTCTCGAATCACTTCGTTTGGTTTTTTTTCCCCTTCGCGGCTGGGCATCATCCCGGTGGAGGAAATACTGACTCCATTGCTCCAATTCTTTTGCGCGCTAACACAGACCAGCAGCTCTCCAGCCTCTGAATTATTTGCCAGCCAGTAGTAAAGATGGGACGTATGATAGAATAGAAAAAAAAAGATAAAAATATATATAATAAGAGGATATGCCCGACGGATTTCTCGGTCTAGTTTTCACCCCAGCATTTAAGCATAAAGGCTACCAGACCCAGTCCGCATCATCCTCTTCTTCTTTTTTTTGTTTGAGATTAAGAGATTAAAGAGTGAAACAAGAACATGGATACTTGAATTGAAAATCTCTTTTTTTTTCAAAGTTGAGGAAACAAAAGTCCAAAGTTGATATTCTCAAGTTTCCCTCCCCCATATCCGTGGTTCACACCTGGGAATCTCCCCGATTCTACCGCCTTCGATTAGAAAAAAAAAAAAAACTCCCTCCCCACCCTCAATGGTCCAACTCGCCCACATCTTCAAAAAGGACAAGGATAAGGAGAAGACTGAGAAGAACAAAGATATACGTTCTCGACCTTCCTACTCCGCTTCGACATCGCCATCTCCGTCACCCTCCAAATCCCCGACTAAGTCTAAATCTCCCTCCAAATCCTCCTCCCCCACCAAATCTACCAAACCCTCAAAATCTTCCAAACAATCCTATTTCTCCCATAGTCGGTCATCCTCCAATTCCGGACCGACCGCCAATTTCAAGTTTGCCCGGTCATCGCGTGACCAGGACGTACACCCACTCAATCTTCCACCCGACGAGCTACGTCGTCGATTGTCCGCTATGGCAGCATCCAGCGAAGAGCAGCGGAGCTCAATGGATATTGATCCCCAGGAACCTCAGAACAATGGCGTGAATGGTACTGAGGAGCGCAGTCCGACCCCGCCACCACACCTGCCAAATTCAGCTTCTGCGGATGAGGCCGACTCCTTCAAGCTCGCCGGAAACAAGTTCTTCAAGGATGGAAACTACCGACGAGCTATCGAGGAATACACCAAGGGTATGCTTTTTATTATCTCACACCGATGCGACGTCTCATGAATTAGCCTGAATGACTGGGGTCGCTGATAATCTTTGTCTAGCCATCGAGATCAATCCTAACTCATCGGCCTATCTCTCCAACCGAGCGGCCGCCTATATGTCCGCTAAACAGTTCCCGAATGCGCTTGAGGATGTTCAGCGCTCCAATGAGCTCGATCCTAATAACCCAAAGATCATGCACCGATGGGCTAAGATTCTGACGAGTTTGGGTCGACCTGCAGAGGCCCTAGAGGTGCTGTCACGGATCCAGCCACCAGTGGCCGCCACCGACCGGGCAGCTGCAGAGAAGATGCTGCGCTTCGTTACGCAAGCAGAAGAGACAATAGCAGAAGACCGCGGTGTCTCGATGGTTATCTATTGTCTGGACCAGGCACGCCAAGGGCTTGGACAAGGTGTTAAGGAGCCTCGCAAGTGGACCCTTTTGGCCGCAGAGGCCCACCTGAGACTGAACAACGTCAACTCGCTAGGCAAGGCCCAGGACATTGCAATTTCCTTGCTGCGCGAAAACAGTCAGGACCCGGATGCGATGATGATCCGTGCCCGCGCCTTCTATGCCCTCGGTGAGACTGAGCAGGCGCAGAAGCTTCTTAAGCTTTGCCTTGGGCTGGACCCAGACATGAAGCAGGCCATCAAACTGCTGCGCATCGTACAGAAGCTGGCTCGCACAAAGGAGGAAGGAAACAACGCCTTCAAGGCCAAGGATTATCGCGGTGCGATCGATCTTTGGTCTCAGGCTCTCGAGGTTGACCCCTCCAACAAGGATATGAATGCTAAGATTCTGGGTAACCGTGCTCAGGCTTACATCAACCTGAAGGAGTATGACTCTGCCATTCAGGACTGTACCGAGGCTCTCCGTCTCGATCCTGGGTATATCAAGGCTATGAAGTGCCGTGCCAAGGCCTACGGCAAGGCCGGTAACTGGGAGGAGGCTATTCGTGAGTATAAGAGCGTTGCCGAGAACAGCCCCGGCGAGCCCGGCATTGCGGAGGAGATCCGCGAAGCTGAATTCGAGCTGAAGAAGTCCCAGCGCAAGGACTACTATAAGATTTTGGGAGTCGACAAGGATGCCAGCGATACGGAAATCAAGAAGGCCTACCGCAAGCTGGCTATTCAATACCATCCTGATAAGAACCGCGACGGTGCAGCCGGCGATGAGAAGTTCAAGGAAATTGGCGAAGCCTATGAGAACTTGATTGATCCTCAGTAAGTCTAGAAGTTCCCAACACTATTCGACACAAAGCTAATCTTATTTCCAGGAAACGTGCTGCTTTCGATAACGGAGACGATCTAAGGGACCCAGCTGATATGTTCGGCGGTGGCGGTTTCGGCGGTGGTGGTTTCCACGGTGGTTTCCCCGGCGGCATGCCATTCCAGTTCGAAAACATGATGAACGGCGGCGCCAGGGGCAACCCCTTCGGTGCTCAGTTCCAAGGCGGCGCCAACTTTCAGTTTTAGATGAAACCATCTAACCCATTCTATTAACTCGATACCACCGATTCTCTCATCTTTCGTCTCTATATGACGAAACCCACAACCGGGATTCGCATGTCTTCGACCGGAGTTGGAGTTGCACCTCGATATCTTACACGTTGATCTGTGGATATTGAGGGTTCACTTTTTTTTGCCCACTGCCATATCACGATTTTTCTTTCACCTTGTTTCTGCGGAGACGCCATATGATTCCCGACATGATAGATTTGACCTTTCTTTTTTTTCCTTCGGTCTAGTCTTTTCTTCCATTTTTGTCTCTTTCCACACCATGGGCCCTTTTAGAGATTTTTGTATACGAAGTGCTGCAATCTGGAATGAATCTACGAGGACACTGCATTTGTGGACGGTTGAAATCCATATGTGCCGAAGACCCGCAAGCTCTGCATTCGATCAACCATTTTCGGCGTTTGTCTGTCTTATCATTCTCTTGGGGTTCGCTCTTGACTTTGACATTGACGTTTGGGCTCTCGATGCGCTTTGTGAAGTTGCCACTCCTGTTTCCATATAGTCAAGCAAAAGCATGCGCGGCGTACCTATACACCTGTATGACACTCATAAAACAAAGATTTTCCTTTGATACTGTTCATTCTCTTGTACTCGGTGGCTGCATGACGACTATTCTTTTAGTGTCTACATAAATTTGGGAGAACTTCACGTTTTGAACTATTACTCTCAGGATGGATTACCCTGATATCCGAATATATTATTCTTGCTCCATTCGTCTACCACTATGGAGTGGAAGAACATATTTATCTTATTGCACATCTGTCTTATAGAGGTTGGTCATGCTATAATCGTAATGTGATATGTACTTCTCAACATGTTGAACAACTGTACTAATAAATATAAACCAAATAAACCAGGGGAATCTCAAAAAAGGGGGGAACAAGACAAGAATAGCGAATGAATATACCGGACAGAAGAGCATGAAGCAAACTCCGCCGCTAATGAGTGATGACGTTCAAGTCGAATCGAACACAAGAAGGGGCATATAGAGATAAACAGAGAATATAAAGAAGATGCAAGAAAATAACAAGAACGCTGGCGTGAGAAGTCTTCAATCAAACATAACCGAGAGCACTGAGCATAGTTTTGCATTCAGGGACCGGCAGAGCGGAGACACCCAGCGCGCGCACCAGAGCACCAGCCCGGAGCCGCTGGAGTCCGATAGCGACCTTCCAGGCCTCAGTATCCTGCAACACAAAGACATACTTCTTGCCTTCCTGGTCCCGAACACTGGCACGGAGAACGTGCAAACCACGGGACTCCGCCTGGGGCGGGTGAACAGGGCCACCATCATGGCTTGCAGTCGCGCTGCGAGCGAAGCACGCACTAGGCGAAGCCAGACGGCAGGTATTCTTGCATACTTTGAGCAAGGTACCGAGAAAAGCCTCTGATTCTTCGTTGGTGGGAACGTTGTTCCCACGACGGAAAGAGAAGGGGTTGCTAGATGTAGTTTTGGCGGATTGTGTCGCGTTTACCTGTGGACAAAACACCTCCGCCAGTTTGAGGGTCCATGCTTTGACGTCCCACTCACGCTGCCCGACGCCGCGTAGATCATCGTCGATGAAGAGACCTTCGGTTGTGATCCGTAGAACCAGCCCATCAGTGACCATTCCCTGACCTGAGACAAGTTGCGCCACTGGGGTCTTCATAAAGGCATTGTTGAAGGCGTAGACACCTTGGATCACGATCTTATCTGGATCCTTTGTGGAATATGTGCTGCGATGCGAGGGGGGAGGTGTTGTGCGCGCAGTCGAGTGAGAAGGTGTATATGAAGACTCAGAGTATACTGAGGTGCCAGCCGCATATGGCCGTCGTGGTCGGTCGTAGGGGCGAAAGGAGTACGCATCGTCGTCATTGGCGGTTTTAGCGGGTGAGTAGGGCGCTGATTTCTTGGGAGAAGGTGTGCGAGGCACATTGCTAGTACTGGCTGGCTTAGGCGGCGGTGATTTGGCAGCGGCCTCTTTCTTCGCGTCTTGCGCCTTCTTCTCGGCGTATTTCTTGCTTGCTGCTTCCTTGAGCGCCGCAAATCTGGCCATGGCTTCTTTTTGCGCGGCGGCCTTTGCGGCAGCTTCTTTCTCAGCAGCTTCTTTCGCGGCCTTTTCTTTGGCTTCCGCTTCCAGCCTTTCGGCTTTGGCCTTCACCTCAGCTTCGGCCTTTGCTTGCCTTTCACGGGCCTCTGCGGCTTCCTTCTCCAGTCGTTCGCGTGCCTCCTTCTCTGCAGCAGCTCTTGCAGCGGCCATCTCCTTTTCGAGCTGCTCGCGGCGTTCCTTTAATTCTTTCTCCATTGCTTCGCGCTCGCGCTGTTTTTCTTTCTCTTTGGCTTCTGCATCACGCTTGCGCTTGAACTCTTCCATCTTTCGGCGTATCTCTTCCTTGCGCCTCGTTTCTTCTCTTGCTCGCTCACGTTCGGCTTCTTCCTTGGCTCGTTCTCTAGCACGCTCCTCCTTTATACGTTCCTCTCTGGCACGCTCTTCTCTGGCACGCTCCTCCTTAGCGCGCTCCTCCCTAGCACGTTCTTCCCTGGCTCGCTCTTGCTTAGCTCGTTCTTCTTTAATGCGCTCTTCCCTAGCGCGCTCCTCCCTAGCACGCTCCTCCTTAGCTCGTTGCTCTCTAGCACGCTCTTCCCTAGCACGTTCCTCCCTAGCACGCTCCTCCTTAGCTCGTTGCTCTCTAGCCCGCTCCTCCTTGGCTCGCTCTTCTCTCGCGCGCTTTTCAGCCTCCTCCTTTTCACGTTTGTTATTATCAGAGTTTGGAGGAGGACTAGAGCCGTGTTGATTACCGGAATATTGGTTGCCGTATTGTCCACCAAAGTTTCCTCCCTGTTGTCTTTGCTGACCGGCCCCGCTGCCGCCATAGTTGGCACCGGAGGACTGTTGGTTGGTGTTTGGGCCGGTGTTCCTAGGGCCACCGGGGCCTCCGGGACCGCCTGGGCCTCCGGCACCGCCACCAAAGCCACCAAAGCCGAACCGTCCTCGAGCACCGTCATTGCCTTTACTGCCTCCCAAGTTGCCGGACTGAGCGGAACCGAAAAGCCATCCAGCGACACCCACCCCAACTGCAATGACCGCCATACCCGTACCACTGCCGCTAGCGACCGTGGCCAGATACCATGCCTTCACAAACGGGGATATATACGACCACACGAAACATGCGAGGAGCGTGCTTGCGACGCCCGCTAGGTAACTGTTTCGGTTGCACTGCAGCGACGGAAGGTAGAGGAAGCCCGATCCAGCGGAGTGAGGTGGGATGATAAATATGTCGTAGTTGCCATCTGGGAGGTCCGAGGATTTGCGATATTCGCCTTCAGTCGTATGAGGATTTTCGCCATGAGGCGGCGGCGGTGGTGGCGGACCGTCCATGTTGGATCAGCCCGCGACAATATAGGGTTAATATATATGCGACGTACTGCAGCAAAGCGCAGCGTCGATCAAAAGACTATAACCTGGGTTGATCTGCCGGATCCTAGATGGACAAGTTCTCGCGGTTGAGATTCAACTGCCAGGTCATATTAGTCTGACAAGTGCACTGAGGCCACAGGCGCTCAGTGCTCTGGAGGGTACTCAAATGCCAATGCAAGAATAAAACACACAACAAGTATCAATAATTCAAATAAAATCCAAATCGTAACGCAGAAAACCAAAAGCGCGGGAGAACCTGAATCTGACTCGGTGTTTGTTTTGGAAGAGAAGTGTGGGAGCTAAGGATCGGCGCCAACGCTACCTGCACCACTCGACGTGGTCATCACATCAAAAACAAAATTTGGCAATGCAAACGGAAATACGAGTGAATGTCCAAAAATATCTTGATGCGGATCGCCATATATTGTCCGAAATATGTTGAATTCCTCGGAGCCACGCGATTCTACGTAGGGCTATGTGACCGAGCTCAGAAACAGCCTCAAGGGATGGAATTACAAGCCCTGTCAATTTTTTTTTTTTTTTTCAAAAAGATATCTTAGCTCTTAACTTCTGATGAACTTTCCTACATGCTTTTATATTAAGCCAAGCGAAATGAACAAGGTCAATGATGGCTTTTTCTTGTTAATCTTCAGCTTCTTTGTCAAGGGCTCAAGTACTAAGTAAACAATGACAACGTCTCTTGCGGTCTCCAGACTTCTCATATCACTCGCACTTTATAGTGCTTAGGTGCTAAGAGCGCATTGCGTATTGACGTATGTTGTAGAGTGTTCGGCTTAAGTATGAGTAGATGGGAAGTCATTTTCCCCGCACTCTATGCCCCTGGGGGCTGGAGCCGGTCAGGTCTTTCATGTTGGGACGAGAGAGAGGAGGTAAATATTTTGCCTATAGCAATGGAATTGTTCAAAGCTATGGCTTTACAAGTGCTTGTTCTTGAGCATATGTTTTTTACAAAGCCTTTTCAACTTACAAAAGCATCAATGCTTAGAGTCTTGTCAACATGGCAAAAGTACGGCTGCTTTGTTTTGATTTTACTCTTTTGGGAAAGGGCTTGATTATGACTCGGAATATCGTTCTTCCAATATTCTTACCGCTTTACGCTTCTCCACTTGCTTTATACTGTTGAGAAATGGAGGAGATGAAGCGAAAGAACTAATCCCAAGGCCTATAATTTAGGTCTCAGGGTATACAATATATATTATGTCGCATGCTGCTATATCAATAGAGTCTATATCAATTTACGGTTATTTCTTACTATGTTGCCAAGACATTCGTATTCGCATTCGGACCACTTGAGCCTCTTTTAGCACATTACAAGGAGCCATACTGCCTCAGATGTTCACATCGCTTTGGGAAGAGTCCAACCATGCGAACTTCAAAGTTTATATAAGCGGTTGCCGCGGATGTGTACTTTTATACTATGTATCTCGAGCAGCGGACCGGAGCAAAGAACATTCGTCCCAAGTAGGTCTCTCAACTGTTTTAGCCTCGAGCATATCTTGCATAGCGCAGGGGCGGACCGCTAAAAACCCTTGTTGATCTTGCGGTCAAGCGGTTGGGGGAAATAGTTTGAACGTAGTGGGTCCAAGGCATTTCGAGCTGGAGAACATACAACATTGCCACCGAGGCTTGTTCACGTGTAGGGAGTGTGGTAAAATTCGACTCCGAGATTCGAGGTTGGGACAAGAGCTCATTATTAAGATCAAAAAGGGCATGTCGGTATATATCTCCTGGTCACCGTACACGGGTATTGCGAGAGCACTGTGATAGATGGATGTCCCATGATCGGGGCATGAGGTGCGGGACCATGACCAGACAGAGGACGTCGGGTCTTAGAGAGACACATGGGGTCATCCTGGCCCACTTAGACCATGCTGAACTGGATATTAGTCTGGTAGTGGGACGTAGTGAAAGAAAGCAGTTTAGGAGAAGTGAATGTATAAGACAAGCCCATGGTGAGGAATAAGACTCGGCAGAACGTGATCCGCAGCCGATGATTGGGTGCCCTTCCACTTGAGATTCCAATACCCTCTCTCTCTCCATCGGAGGGTTGATCGTCTTCTTTCTATTTCACCTGAGCTTCAAATCTTCCTGTATCCCCCCTGTGTTAGTCTGGTAGTCAGGTACTACCCCGTGTTTCCGCTTCCCCACCAACCTGTCCTTTTTAGTCCCAGGCACCTATCTCCGCCAACCTTGAAACCCCCCAATTCCCGTCTCACTCTCTATGCCGTGTCGCTAGCCACCTAGAACCGATTTACGACCTGCCCTTGAAGGGCATTCCGACATCATGTCCTCACAATCCCACCACGGTCATTCCGCGACGTCACGTCAATTCCCCGTTTACAATCCCGTCGCCGCAGTGACAGCACCTGCGGGGACCTTGCTTCCGGGCACCAAGATTCAAGTTGGCAGCCATCGCGTGGTAGTGGAGAAGTACCTATCTGAAGGTGGTTTTGCTCATGTCTACGTGGTGCGATTGCCTCAGCCAGTCAATGGGTCCGAAACCGCAGTGCTGAAGCGGGTGGCCGTGCCTGACAAGGCGGCCCTTGCCAACATGCGCACTGAGGTGGAGACGATGAAGAAGCTCAAGGGCCATCGGCACATTGTGAAGTATATTGATTCGCATGCCTCGCAGCTGCGCGGAGGTGGATATGAGGTGTTCTTGGTCATGGAGTACTGCGCGGGTGGTGGTCTTATCGACTTCATGAACACCCGGCTTCAACACCGGTTGACAGAGCCAGAGATCATCAAGATATTCTCTGATGTTGCTGAAGGTGTTGCATGCATGCATTATCTTAAACCGCCTCTCCTCCATCGTGATCTGAAAGTCGAGAACGTTTTGATCTCGGGTAAGGGGAGTTCCGCCACTTACAAACTGTGTGATTTTGGATCATCGGCACCCCCTCGTCCTGCTGCTACTTCTGCCGCTGAGGGTCGCTTGATTGAAGATGATGTGCAGCGGCACACGACGCTGCAGTACCGAAGCCCAGAGATGATAGATGTCTACCGGAAGCAACCGATTGACGAAAAGAGCGATATCTGGGCACTTGGTGTGTTTTTGTACAAATTATGCTATTATACAACCCCCTTTGAAGAGGTCGGTCAGATGGCTATCCTCAACGCGACCTTCAAATACCCTTCCTATCCTTCCTTTTCAAGTCGGCTAAAGCTGTTCATTGGTACGTTTGGAACTTCTCTTTGGCTTATGATCCATCATCGACGACTGACGGCTCCGCGCAGGCTCAATGTTGAAGGAAGATCCCCGCAATCGTCCCAACATATATGAAGTCGTGCGCGAGGTGTGCAAAATGCAAGGAAAGGAAGTTCCTATCAAAGACGTATGTTTCCACGCACCTCTTTTAGTGGATATTTGACACTAACTGTCTCTTAGATCTATTCTAACCGCTCTGTTTCGGAGGCGCGCAAGTACCAAGAGCTACCCCCTACGCCCACGGAAGCTCCCGCTGTGGGCGCAGTATTTTCGCCTCCTATGCAGGAGACAGAGATAATCCCTGAGATTGCGCCTATGCGGCGTGGTCGACCCGGAAAATCTTCGTCGTCCCAACCTACCTCCGAGAGACCAAGTCCTTCGCCTTATCGAGTCGCTGCTGAAGGCTCGTCAAGTGATCCATTTGCAGCTCTGGATGGGGGCGCATCCCGAAAGAAGACGGCAGAAGAAATGTCCAAACGATTCCCTTCCTTGGATCAGTTTGACATTTTGCATGAAAAAGGGGACAAGTTTGAATTCGAGCCAACAGTAGAATCCAAGCCCGAGGACGAGGATCTATCCCGAAGACTCACCAACGCCCTGGCCGATGATGCTTTCTCTAGACGTGTCTCGCCCGAACGTGCACCGAGGCCAGTCTATAAGCGACCATCCCAGCCTTCTCCTGTTCGGGCACCTAATTCGCGTGAAATTCCCGCACCGCAGGCTACTCCTCTGTACCAGCCAACTCCTCAGCGGCCTGTGATGGTGTCGACAGGTACCATGACGTCCCCCATTCAAACACCTCGTTTGCCGGAGCCGAAGATATCCAGTCGTCCAATCTATCGATTCCCTTCGTCTGATAATGAGCACCGATCTTCCAGTCAGCCATTTACAACTGCGGACGAACAAAGAGTGACACGGCCGCATAAGGCGCCATCCCCTCCGATGTCGAGCTTGAATGTGGAAGGAAGCTCGCGGCTGCCATCTGACCGTGTATCCAGTCAGTCTAACTCTGCGCGCCCCTCTATGGAAACCTTGAGACGGCCTTCGACATTGGAGGTGAATGATCCCGTGGGACGTTCTAAATCCGCCACTGGAAAGGCTCGGCCGATGTCAGTCCAGGCGGGAGCGAGATATGACCTGCCTCGTGACTCTGAGAGCCCGCGGACTTCCCTGGATATGTCCCGTCTGCAATACGAGGATGGCGCGCCACTGCGGTCAGTGCGCACCGATGTGGACCGCGAGTCAGATCGGACTATTTCTTCTGACGTCGATTACCTACGCGCGATGGAAGAAGAAGAGAGCAATCGGAAGCGCGAGAAACGCTCCAGTGGTAGTCACAAACACAACAAGCGCGGTAGTCTGTCTACCTTATCACTTTCAGGAGGCAAGAATCTATTTGCTAGTCGATTCGGCGACGCATTCCGCCGCTTCGAGGCGGGCAACCAAGAAAAGTCCTCCTCACCATCAGCAGAGCATGCGCCCCGAGATGGTCTGTTTGGGGCGTCGGACTCAGCCGATGAGAGTATCTCGCCAAATGACGATTTTGCCTTGGAAGACGCGGACCGGGACGACATTTCACCAGAGATGCGCCGCGAGCTGGAACGCCGCCGACTCTCCCAAGAGGAGAAGCGGGTTGCCAATGCCGCAGCTGAGTACCGGCGTCGGGTTGCCGAAATGGGTGACGGGGGTGCAAGAGTGATGGGTGATGGCCCTCGCTCTCGCACAATTCAGAATAAGGTACAGTCATTGCTCGGAGAGTCCGAAAAACCCGCCGCTCCAAAGACCGCCACTGGGTATGGACGGTTTACGGAGACTTCCTCTTCTTTGCAGGCAAAGCAGAGTGAGGTTAGACCCACAGTCTCAAGCCAGCTGCCCGCTTCTCACACATCTGGCCCAACATACACTCCTCGTACCAGTTCAACAACACTCCCGGAGCGCCGAGATGGCCCTAATATCTCCGCAGGTGTCTCTCAACCTGTCGCTCCTACCAGTTATCCAGCCACGCAACGTCCCGCAACTCGACCTGCTGCACCACCAAAGCCCAAGAATTTGCGCGCTGGTCCAACCACCTCTCGACCGGGCACTGGTCATGACCATGGTTCCTCCCAAGAGGCTCCGGCAAGCCCTGGAGAGGACTGGGAGGCTAAATTCAGCCAGCGTTTCCCAAGCTTGTCCGGGCTTGAAATGGAGACAGAGATCAAAATCCCGAAACTTTCTAGCTTGAGGACGCGGGAGGTGTAGATTACTGAGTACAAGTCTTATTTGTTTCTCATGCGGTTTCAGCGTGTATTCGTGTCTTCGCTGTGCGAGCTGTGCACATATAGACAGTGACATATTGGATATTACATAAATTCTCTTCAAACCTGTGGACACGACTTTAAAACTCTTCATTTTCTGTAATCATAGTTAGAACGCACTCGATATCAACTATAAACGTTGTAATTCGTACATATTTATCTTTTCAACAAAGTGAAGGTGTTTTTGAGTATGATTGGCCAGGGAACTAAAGAGAGAAGCTAAGAAAGGAGAGAGATCTAATTGACATCTTCCTTTACTCTGCTTTTGGGCCTTCATTCGCGTCTTATTCTGCGCCATCTGTAGATTCTTCATTCTCCGTAGCTTCACTCTTCCAAAGATCCTTCAGGAAAAGCAGATTTTTGTCCTGACGCAAGGCATCTCCGCCGTTCTGGTATGCCATTAGAATTCCAGAGTTTCGTTCCTCGAGTATACCGACCATGTAGTCAATGGCATCGGTGGCGTGCTCTTCTAAGAGTTCCTCTTTAGCCTCTTTGGCCTCCTCCTTGATTTCATGGAGCCGCTTGAGCCAGTACAGATATCTCCATGGCGAGAATCCAGTGGGCGATCGCTGCCCAAGCTCTGACTCGATAAATTTCTCGCCACCCTGGCTGATGGTACTAGGGCAATCGCTCCAATACACTTCTGAGAGCAGAACAAGATTGTGGCCAGCATGACGGAACCAAGCGACTGCAGCTGGCAACAAGTGACATATTTCAAGCTGGTCTATACGCCGCATTGGATCTTCATTATCTAAGTCTTCCCCACTGCGAAGTCCCTGTCTCTCCTCCAACAGATTGCGAAAGAGAATAAGGGCAATCTGGCACAGTTTATCATTACTAACGCGAGTTGATGCTAGCTTAGCAAGGAACGTCGCTAAATTGAGTCGATGGGCCCCCGACATCGTCGGGAAGTCGCTATTCCAAAAGTCGGTCATGTCGGTGACTAAGAAGGGTAGATCATTCCAGAGTGTGCTACCTTCGGCAGTTCGTGCGATATCAACGCCGTAATTTCCTCGCACACGTCGAGTCAGCGGTCCCATTCCTTGAATCCGGATTATGTCGAGGATAAGACCTTCGTGGTCGGGCGTCTCGTGCGAGATGTTTCGGCCGAGCTGGTAGTACATATACCACATGGAATGAATGTTCTCTTCAAAGGAATCCGTGCCATCTCCAATCTCGCAGTATCGGGAGTTGATGAACGAGGTTCGGTTATGGAATGCTGCGCCCCGAATCTCCTTGAGTTCTCCCCGAGCAATGGATTGACGCGTGCTCTCCTGGTCTGCCCGACAGGCCTCTGATATAGCGGTGAAATGAGGAGCGCCTCGTGGCGAAGGGCCGAGCAGCGAATCCCGGAGATGATGCATTATTTGGTGTCGATGGTGTTAATTGATAGATTGGTTTGCGATAAGAAGGACGAAGATGAATGAAGATGAAATCTATGGGGTCTTATATCATAAAGAAGGGCGAACGGGGAGGGGGAAGACGAGGCATTTCTCTTAAGGGAACCCTAGGCAGCAGGGTTGGTAGTGGAGTCGGTAATTGAATCCTTAGGCTTATGCACGCGCTGTTCGACCACTGTTTTCTTTGTCTCTTATGGATCATATGGCAACCAGGGCTGCCCTACGGCCTCTGAACTATTGGATCGGATGTATCCGATGTAACGTTCAGGCATGATGGGGGCATGTAGACAGTAGGACCGGTACGGAGTACTCCATACAACCGTACAAAGCTAGTAAGGCGTGCTTTGTTTCTGGAAAGCTCTGTTGGGGCTTTCATCCACGTTACTAGCTCATCTTGACCGAGACAAATATCACATCTTATCTCGTTTTCTTCGGGCACATTTGAGATCGACTTGGCGATTGGCTTTGTAACATGGAATTTAGCTTGAACGGGATTGGTTCACATTTGCTCGAGCACCTGGGCAAGTGTTAAGATAGCGGTAGGTAGGATACATGCCAGAGGGATATTAAAGTAGTGTATATAGTACTAGTGTGTCTGATCAGGCAAAGGTCCAATTTAAAGGAAGATATAAACATCGTCATCTCCACTCCTTATCTACCATACTTCGTCCCCACACCGCCTTCGTTTCTCCCCAAGAGAAACCTCAATTTCAGCTTGTAGCCGAGTCCTCGCTCAATATAATCATGGCGCCAGTGACTTTGAAAACGGTAGATGGTGAGTTATGAGAAGCGGATAGCTCTAAGGGTACGCATGCTAATTCCTCACGCAGATGACCTTAAAGATGTGATCCAGCACCTATTCGAGATCCAATCCGCCGTCCACGGGTATCTAGGCCCAGAGACACAGCAGGAGCTTGTGCGAAAGATGTACGTCAGCTACGCTAGCATCATATTTCCCTCGATTCCTCTATCTTCACAAGTGTTCCCCATCAAAGCAAAAGCCTTGCCACAAACATTACTAAACCCCAACCCTACACACCAAAGCTAATACAATCCAGCAAAAACCTTACCGTCGCCCTCTCGACCCTTTCAACGCACACCCAGCTCCCGCCAACACAAGACAATCAACCAGACACGAACACAGACCCCTCCAACCCCTCCCTCGCCAGCATCCAGCTTCCACCAGAGATCATCGACTACGTTGACTCGGCGCGCAACCCAGACATTTATACGCGAGAGTTCGTTGAGCTTGTGCAGCGTGGGAATCAGGACTTGCGTGGCAAACGCGAAGCCTTTGCGAGCTTCCGCGACGTGTTGGCCCGCGAGATGCGCAGCGCTATGCCCGAGTGTCGCGGTGAAGTCGATCGGGTGATTGCTGCGACGGGTGGGGCTGTTGATGGATCTGATGATGTTTCTGGGGCTGCGGCTCCAGCTACGTCTGGGGGTGGAAATTGAGGCGTCTTTGATAGGTGCAAGTATGATCATTTTCTGATTGATTGACTTGCCTCGTCTACTTTGTGGATTTGGGTCTAGTCCGGCCTTGATCAGGCCTTGCCTTCAGCTATTTGTTTGAGGCTCATGGATATGGTGCATTCATTGGAGTTTTTATGGTTCGCATTGAGCATGGCGTTTGCAAAGGCTTTTCTTTATCTTTCGGGTGGCGCGTGTGGTAGGGAAGTTTCTATAGTGGCCATTTGATAGTTAACAATCTAAGTTGTACATAAGCTTAGCAGCATCGCCAATACTATTCAATGTCTATACCCTAGTTAATACCGCCTATAGTTAACTATATAGTTAACTAATTAACTAGTTAACTAATTAGTTAGTTAACTATGGATGGTCCATACTGCCTGATAAATAAGGCTACAATGTTGTGGCTGACGTCATCGTATGGAGATGAAGCAAATCTCGGAAGAAGAGTTTCCGGACCTCAACAATGCCAGCCCGAAGGAGCCGATCGGCAGCAGCATGTATCCATTGTCGCCAGAAAAAGGTGCGTATTTCGGGACTCTATACAGACTTTGGACTCATCAGATTCCATAAGTAGTTGAAGTGTGATGCGCAGAGGCCCCAGTGTGGGAATTGTCTAGCTAAGAGTATCGACTGTCGGCTAGGCGTGGTCCAGAATAAGCCAAGGTAAAAATTAGAAAAATACGATCAAATTTCAAGTTGCTGATACTTTGATTTTGGGCCGACCAACCACCGCATTGCGGAATTAGAGCAGGAGAATGAAGTCCTTCGACAGAGATGTGCCCAGCTCCAGGGCAGCAACAACACTTCTGCTGGAATAGTGCAATCGGAGTCGGAAAATTCTGTTGCATCGGCAAGCAGTCCACATACGCTATTGCCATTCTCGAGAGGAGCTGGTATTGGTCTCTCGCGGAATGACTCACCCTCTGCTTCAACCAGAGATGCATCACACCCAGAAGTACCAGAGAACAACCGCAGAAACACCTCATTGTATCATGGTCCAACGAGTACAGTATATGATGATACAAGTCCGAACTACAACGAGCAGAGTAGACCTGGCCAATCTAACGAAGAGGGAACACGGAATTTTCTCTTTTCCCAGACAGCGAGACAGAGCAAGTCGGATCTTATGCAACACGAAATGATTTTATGGTGCTAATTGGGTACAGGACAGCTAGAGCCGCTCAATCTTGCCGCCGGAAAGCTCGACTTTGATGGCGTGGATCCAGAGATCGGCATGCATCTGCTCTCTATATACTGGAGTCGTCAACTGTACACGGCACAGATCATCTATCGACCAGCTTTCATGCGGGACATGGCCTGCGAGGGACCATACTTCTCCAAATTGCTATTGAATGCGATATTCTTTGTGGTGTCGAAGCACTGTGACCGACCAGAGCTTCGTTCCGATCCAAACGACATTACGACCGCAGGATGGAAGTTTCGGCAACGTTTCACGCAGCTTTTGCGAGATTGCTTCGACAAAAGCGAAATCACGACCCTTCAGGCATTGTTGATTATGTCCAATGCGCTTTTCTCCAGATGTGACGAACGGAGTCTTTCATGGCTATACGCTGGAAATGCATTCAACATGTTCATTGATCTTGGCCTTCATGTGCTTCCTGATGTGGATAGTATCCCTGCCGAGGAACTTGAAATTCGAAAGCGAGTTCTCTGGGGAGCATACCGTGAGCTATCACTTCTCTGTACTTGGTATTGCCACGGGTTACCTCTAACTTCTCTGATAGTGATTGATAAGATCCAGTGTCTTTTCCAAGGAAGACCTCCGCTTCTCAACCGTGTCAACCTGAGAGCGTCACTAGACTTTTTGGATGACTATGATGAACTTGAACCTTTTCAAGATATAACATACACGACTACCAAGCCTCGGCAGGTGGTTCCGTCACTGAATGTTTCTTTGCTCACCAATTTATGCGGGCTGACAACAATTGTGGAACGTATTCTTCGTGAGATTTATTCGGAATCTCGAGAGTCAAATCTGGGTCACAGAGCAAATATCTCCCAGGAAATCAAGTCACAGCTGAGAAGCTGGCGCCAAAACTTGCCACCTCGGCTTGATTATCTGTCATTCCCAGACCAGGCGGTCCTCCTGCCTCAATCCGCCTGTCTTTTGTATGGTCCTTCCCACCAACCAATACTAATTGATAGTCACTAACTATTGTCAAGAGCCTTATTCAATGTGCTGATCATTTTGGTCCACCGTCCTCTAATAATTGGCCACGACGGGGTCATCAATTCAACCACTGCCCATGAGTCAGTGAACGCATGTACATCAGCCGCGAACCAAATTGTACAGATACTACACGACTACTCGCAACAATTTTCCCTGAGCAGTGCACCGTACATGCTCTCTTATGCTACCTATATCAGTGCAACTATCCATGCACGGATTGTTGCACAAAAAGGGAGCAACTCAACAGTGTTCCAATCACTGGTCTTTTGCCGAAATATTCTTTCTGAACACACACGTCTCTACTCGGCAGCAGAAAAGGCCAAGGAAAATTTGGATAAGTTGATTTCTCACTTAGGGATCAGTGCTGCGGACGACAATCCGCGGACTGGGAGCCCTTGGAGCCCTGGGATCACTGTTCTCAGTGAACACATGGTCATGCATGAGTCTATTAACGTTGCCAGAGAACTCGGCGTCGCAGACCGTGCACATGATTTTGGGTCTTCCCTGCTTAGTTTGGAATTATCGGATCTGGACCTTGAGGCAATTGCTCAAGGCTTTCAGGTTGATGTAGAGTCGCATTCGTTCTGGAACTCTTTGGTATGAATGAACATATACCGAGATGCATTCATAGATGACTCCTCATGATATATGCGATGAAAAATAGCAAGACAAACGTAATTTGCTCCAATGGCATATATGATGCGCTAGCTACCATAACCTCAGGCGGCAGTCCTGTTGCTTTTCGAGTAATAATCTCCATCTCACTAGTGAAATAGTCGAAGCGCCAACCTCAGTTATCAGAAATTATATGGAAAATCAACGTAGAACAGATACGACGTCATATATCTAAGAAATGTTGATATCCGGACCATCACATCCCGAAGGGCGGAATCTCGGCTCGGCTCCGCGACTACGCGGGGCATTTCAACAAATTGTACGATTCCAATGATTCGACGTCAAATGATCTCGGGAAGTGTCTGCCGATTGCACTCCGCATTTTTCAGGAAAGCACAAATGGGGAGCTCGCTATATATAATCCATGTCGCCCCCCCATATGGGATGTTTATCCCACATTACACTCAACACATAGTGCACCTACAACACCATGGGGTGTTCAGATAAGAAGTCCTGTGAGGGCTGTTCATGCAGCAATGACACCCAACCCCAACAAATCAACATCGAGGACTGTCTGAGTGAGCTGCAGGCCCTGCGACGACGCAATCAGGAGCTAGAAACACGCATGAGAATCAAAAGCGAGACAGATAATGCTCAAGTCCCCGTCAAACAACCGGGACGAACACTTCGTTCGTCCGCGTGGTTCGACTGCCGCAGCAATCCTGGCATGACAGCTGTCTACATGGAGCGGTACTTCAACTACGGTATCACCAAAGAAGAGCTCATGTCTGGTAAGCCGATGATTGGAATTGCCCAGACGGGATCAGATATTGCGCCTTGCAATCGCCATCACATTGAGCTCTCTAAGCGTGTTCGTGAGGGTATCCGGACTGCTGGCGGTATCCCATTTGAGTTCCCCACACATCCTATCCAGGAGACCTCGAGACGGCCTACTGCTACTCTTGATCGTAATCTGGCGTATCTTGGCTTGGTGGAGATCTTGACAGGGTATTTCCTTGATGGTGTTGTGTTGCTTACCGGGTGTGATAAGACAACCCCGGCTTGCTTGATGGCTGCGGCTACAATGGTGAGTATCAGACCTGAAAGATTACTAGATATATGCTGATGTTTCTAGAATATCCCTGCTATCTGCATGAACGTGGGACCTATGCTCAACGGCTACTCCAAGGAAGCTTTGACCGGAGCAGGCACTGTACTGTGGCACGGTCGAGAGCTCTACGCCACGGGTGAGATTGATGAAAATGAGTTTATGGATTATATCGCCCGAGGGTAAGTAATTTCTACACCCCTACTCAATGGCCACTGAATCTAATATAAAATCCAGCACTCCGTCGGTCGGCCACTGCAATACCATGGGAACTGCCTCGACGATGAATGCTCTTGCAGAGTCCTTAGGAATGGCACTTCCCGGGTCAGCCGCCATTCCGGCTGCCTACCGCCACAGAGCCCAATGCGCCTATGAAACAGGCAAACAGATTGTGGAAATGGTAGAGGCAGACCGGAAACCATGTGATCTCATGACACGTGAGGCCTTTGAGAATGCCATCGTAGCGAACGCCGCAATCGGCGGCAGCACGAATGCTCCTATTCACATCAACGCTATCGCACAGCACGCGGGCGTGGAGGTGTCTATGGATGATTGGGATACTATTGGATCTACCATCCCGCTGCTGTTGAATATGCAACCCTCAGGGGAATACCTCGGCGAAGAATACTACCGCGCTGGAGGACTACCAGCTATTATGGCCGAGCTTTTAGATCAGGGCAAGCTGAACGGTGATGTGCTCACTTGCAATGGCAAAACTCTCGCCGAGAATGTCCGTGGGAAGCATACATGGGATCGACGTGTCATTAAACCATACGACGATCCATTGATGAAAGATGCCGGGTTCGCCCATTTGAAGGGTAATCTTTTCGACTCTGCAATTATGAAGACTTGTGTCATTTCACCCTCATTCCGGGAGCGATACCTCTCCAACCCCGATGACCCGGAGGCATTTGAAGGATCTGTTGTGGTATTTGACGGGCCTGAAGACTACGAACACCGCCTAGAGACGACGCCATACATCGATGAGAAGACCATACTTGTCATGCGCGGTGTTGGTCCAATTGGGTATCCCGGAGCAGCAGAGGTCGTCAATATGCATCCACCAGGCCGACTCTTGAAAGAGGGTATTGATGGACTGTTCTGCATCGGGGATGGCAGACAATCGGGAACCTCTGGGTCACCTTCGATTTTGAATGCTAGTCCCGAGGCCGCAGCAGGAGGCAATCTTGCTATCTTGAAAGATGGGGATAGACTACGCATTGACCTGCGCAAACGGCGGGTTGATATTCTCATTACCGATGATGAGATTGAACAGCGAAGGAAAGCATTGGGAAAAGAGGGATACCCCGTTATCCCGAGTGGTACCCCGTGGCAGGAGATTTTCCGTCAGGAAACTGATCAACTGAGCAATGGCATGGTGCTACGGAAGGCAGTCAAGTATCAGCGACTAGCTCAAGAAGGCCAGCCACTGCGACATAATCATTGATACATCGGATACGAAACAACCATAAAGCAACTTGAACATATCTTACATTTCGAAAGCGCTGGACTTGCAGGGAGAAATAATGTGGCAATTAAGGGGAATCTGGTGCAATTCCCAACAGGTGAATAATGAATTAGGTAGACTGAACAAACATTGACATTAAGAGACGAATATACTGAATACAATTTATTTGCGTTTGACCAACAAAACAAAAGTATATCACTACAGCCCGAATGGATAAGTTTCGCCCTTTCCAAGCGGCGTAGCAGGCTGGATGACTTCCAAGGGTTGAACAGCCTTGGTTTCATCAAACCAGACATAACCATCAAACTGTTTGTGAAGGAAAGCTTGTGAGTAGTGGGACGCTCGCTCTGTATCGGGGCGGTAGATGACACCAATGAAACGCTGTAGGCGTTGCTCAGCAGCGATAGCCGATCGCAGAGTTGGATCTATGCGATCCTGACGCAGGTCGAGCACGAAGCGCGGGACTCCAGTATCATGGGCCACAATCTCCCAACTATCGTCTCGGGATGGACGGACAGACATAACCTCCATATCATCGTCCCACTCATGGGCCGCTGCAACGGTACCAGTGTGAGTGCCACATCCAAGAATCGTCACATTCTCACGTCCTAGTCGCTCACGACATAGTTGCCCAATGTTGAGCTCCTTGCGGCGGAAGCCCATGCTTGTATAGCGCGCATCCCCAACGTGGGAATTGTGCGCCCACACAATGGCTTTCTCTCCCTCATTGTGCTTTAACAGACGTTCCAAGGTCTCAAACATGTGCATGTCACGCATGTTCCACGAACTTGCTGAGCTGTAGTACATTGCCTTGTAATACTTCTCTGCATCACGAACAAGGTGGGCATTCTGCTCGCCGCTGTGGTATTCATCGCCGTCCCTCGAACCGATGTATTCAAGTCGTTTCTCCAAAAGGTCTCCAAGCATCTTCATAACTGGGGCTTCACAATCCTCCATACCTCGAAGAGATGCCAGACCATATGAAGTGGGATCATCAACCCAAGGTTCCAGACATCCATACCGCTGACGTGCTTGCTTGCTTGCCTGTGGGTCTATTCGGTCCAAGTAGTCGATCACAGCACCAATAGAGGCACCCATGCTGTACAGGTCCAACCCGTAGAATCCGGCTCTTCGCTCTGGTGGGAGGCCCTGGTTTCGATCACGCATCCATTCAACTAGCTGTTGCATCTCGGAATTCCTCCACATCCAGGTAGGGAATCGATTGAATGGTTCATAATTCTTTGCTTTTCCTCCAATTTGCGCCTTGGGACCTGGGCGCAAGCGCACGTATCGGTCGATGGCCTCTGCATCCGGCCAGTCTGCTTCGACTGCGACCATAGTGTAACCGTGTCGTTCGATGAGTCGTTTTGTGATCTCTGCGCGTGCAGAATAGAACTCGGATGTTCCATGACTGCCGTCACCTAAAAGAACCACTTGATTGCCAGCAAAGGTATCGAAGTGTGATGCAAAGTTCTTATCCTGGATTGCAGGCAGGGGCTGCACTGCTGAATTGAAAAGTTCCTGTAGCTGAGGCATCTTTTTCGGATTTCGGAATATACATGCCAAGCGCATGGACGGCTATTGGGAATATCTTCACATAGATGCGAGACTGAAGTGTCTGGGGTTACCAGCATTTCTATTCTTTCTTCATTACAACATATGCTCTTTGTTTCTCGGGATTTTTCCCAGCGAATTGTTTGCATCCCGGTAGGTAAACAGTCATGATGACTTCATCGTTGAAGGCAAACCACAAAGCTTCAATTCCGATGATATTCGATTAAATGACATCTGTGAAAATCGGTAATGCAGTGGCCTAGGTTATTCTTGTTCAAACAGCACACTGCCAGACAAGCGATTATTCCTCCCAGCAACTACGCATATGCCCGTCCTATTTCGAAAGCACGAACCTCGACAATGGCTATCCCAATTAGCAGTCCGTCTCCGCGTCTAGACCGCTTCGGGCAGGCAATGGAATCTCTTTATGGGAGTTTTAGTAGCATCGAAGATCCAAAAGAGTGGACTCCACCACCAAGATCAGGTGGCCATCGAGGGCGATACCTATGGACAGATGCTTTCGGAGTTGTCAACTTTCTCACAATGCACAAAGAGTACAGGCGAAGTGGCAATGATATCATTGGCGACGACCGTTATCTGATTCTGGCTGGCCGTCTGATTGAGACTGTCCATAACATCCTAGGTAGAACGCGAGACGGCCACTCAAGACTGCGAGGAGCAACAGACGCGAACCCGCTAAGCGGTGGATTGAGGATTGGAAAGACAGATGCTCATGGTCCAGATGGCGATGGGCAATATCACCATTACCTAACGGTGTGGATGTTTGCATTGAACCGAATGGCCAAAGCATCGGGGGATGTGAAGTACAACAGGCAAGCCGTAGAGCTTGCAAAAGCGATACACCCAAAGTTCTTTGTTGATCGCGCGGCAGCTCGGCCGAGAATGATATGGAAGATGAACATGGACCTGACAGAGCCAATGGTTAAGTCAGAGGGTAATCTTGATCCGATTGACGGCTTTGTTGTTTTTCGACTTCTTCAGGCTACAGCCATGGAAGCAGGTGATGGGGCGGTCTTGACCGAGGAGATTGATGACTATAAGCGCACGATGGAGCGCAAAAGAGAGCACTTTGTTTCAAGTGATCCTCTGGATTTGGGCATGACTTTATGGACGGCACATTGGTTTTCCGGGCGAGAGAGATGGGCTGCTGAACTGGCGGGGAAATGCTTTGAGCAAATATGTCAGTCGCCTTTCTGCTAATACATGTGAAGAAATATAGAACAAGAACCAAGCTGACCGGGATTCCAGACAATCTGTTCGAGATCAATCAGTATTTGGAGCGCAATATCCGATTTCGGTTGGCCTTTCGAGAGTTTGGTACCTGCATGGGCATCCAATGCCAGTCAGAGGTGAATGCAGAAAAAGAACGCACCGTTGATTTGAAATGCTACTCCGATGCTATCATTGCTGCTTGGGATCCATATATGCAGCTATCCATATCCGATGATCTAACACCCGTGGACTTGAGGCCTATTACGCGGGTGATGTATGCATCTGCGTTGATTCCAGGTGGTAAGTCAAACAAGCCCGTGATGAGTTCGGTATTTTGACACGCCCCAGCATTTGAAGCTGGGTTCCTAGGACAGGAACCGGAAGCAACACCCTTGCATTGATTCCAAGTATTGGAATGGATAGATAGGTTACAACTACAAGAAAGGGCAGGGCTGCTCAGTAGAAGAATCCTTGATATGCAAAAGGACACGGACGATATCTGAAAGACATCTAAGACATAGGTGCATATTAAACCAAATTTGTTTTCTGTTGTAGGAAAAATGTTAACCATAGAAGTCCCGCTGGTGATTGGAATAGTACGAAGGCACATCGGGTGCTTATCACCCTACAATGTACAAGGTTCGAAGGCCTAATGCCTGAAGACAGTGTGATGCATAAAACGCACCAATCTTCGGTGTATAACCATTTCAACTTCAAGGTGAAGACGGCTTGAACATTCCTCTATACCCAAAATCAATGCAATCTATCATTATCATTCGATATATTCACACTACTGAGAATTAGATCTCGCAGAAAAAGACAGATATCTATACTCCCGGAAGTCCAATCACGTCCCTCAAAGCAGGTATCCGTCTTGGGAGTATATAGATGGCATACACAGAACTCAAAGCAATGGACAGACCAGACCACTAGACAAATTGTCAGCCAACAGAAATGTTTACCGTGTAGATTTTTTCCCAAGTATGCACGCACCTTTTCTAACCAAGTATGAAACCAGATCGCGGTCATAAAGAGCATCCACCAGCCCAGACCAACAACACCCCAAACAAGACGGAGTGACCACGTTCTTGCGAACCCACCAGTCTCAGTTGAATCAATAACTGGAGTACTATCGGCATCACTAGTCTTGCGCTCACGTCCCGCATCCCCAGTGGAACTAAATCGCGACAAACATGCGGGTGCGCTAGCCCCGACAGCCTCAAAAGCCAGGAATCCCGTAGCTAGAACCAGCATCAACACATGTCCGCTGATATCATGACCACCACTCCATGCGCCACCGGCGCTTTTGCACGTCGCTGCCGTGAATAGTGTTTCTAAGTTGGCGGAGCTGCCCTGGCCAGCGGTCATCTTTCCAGCTTCTTCCAGGGCCCGTTCACATTTGCCCCCTGTGGCCACGAAGCCGCGATCAATGATTGCCGGTCCGAAGAACCATTGTGTCGCAAGATACCATACTGTTGTTGTGAGGGCATAACGTAGAATGGCTTGGAGAGTGCGTCGAAAACGTGCTTCTTGCTGTGATGAGGATTCCCGGAGAGATGAAGAGAAGACGGGTTGGGTTATGAGGAGTGAGACAAATGCAGCTGTGGTCCATAGCCATCCGATCTTCACAAAGTAGATATTAAAGACATTATTCTTTCGAGCGAAGTAGTTGACAGGACCTTCGGAGAGGTGCATGTCTGCAGCCAGGGATGGCGCCAGAGGGCTTGCGGGGTGTGGGGAAGAGACGAACAGATCTCTGGAATGGCGTGCTGTTGGAGATATTGTCGAGAACAGAGACCCCAGTAATAATGTTGCAGGGTATATGAGGAGAACAGCCGAGAGGAGGGCGGGAGGTCGCGCGGTGGTTGTGGCCATGGTTGTAAGCATAGAACGAGATTCAAGTAGAGGAAAATGAAGTGGTATATTGTGAAATCCACAACAAGGTTTCACCAGAACATTCAAATATGACCACAGAGCATAGTTGTTGCAATTGAGAAGATCGAAGCAGGATAAGTTAACGATGACCTGGACAGATGACATCAGGGTTTGCCTGCCGAGGCTGCATGAATGCCTCAGGCAATACAGCCCTTTAACCTTCATCAGTCTTCTCTACTCTATAATCCGAATTAACGGATATGTACACAATCAAGGCCATGAAAAGAACATCAAACCTGTGATTTATGTGATTTCTTACTGCTTGGTCGGATCTTTTCGCGGAGTTCCTATTGGCAATGTAGGAATCTTAACTCTATATATTGGAAACACTGTATAGGTATATCAAATCTGACTATTGCTCAATGTCAGACATGCATATAGATCTCTATAAGCTTTGAAATGCCGTTCACTTTTGTAGTGGACCTCCATTCAACTGTGGGGTATTTAACGAGCCCTGGATATCAAAGAATTCAAGTGAAACCGAACAAAAACCAAATGCGTCAACTTTCATCATAAAAAGGCGCCATCACTGGGCCTTTAACCGAGTGCTTGCATGGCCAACTCGACACTGGGGAGAGGGATTAGCTGCAATTCAAGAAACACAAGCATCACGAGTGAGCAAAGAAAAGGGCAAACATACGTTAGGAATGTTCCAGCAGAAACAGGCATAGCTCTCAGCAAAGTAGGGCCAATACCCTTCCAGAAACCACCGAGACCCTCAATGGCGTAGGTCTTCTTGAAGCAGTCGCGCATAGTGCTGTACTTTTGCTCCGCGCCAAAACCATCTGTCTGCATCTTACTCTTGATAACATCGAACGGGTAGCTGGAAAGCCAGAGGACCTCACCAGCCAGACCACCGTACGTGGCAATCTTTGCCTTGGAAATATCCTCACGCTTGACATTGTTACGCTTGGCATCCTGGTTCATCATGAATTCAAAGGCCATGAACCAAGCACCGTACGCCTGGGCCTCACGGAGGAGAGTAACCGCCTGGCCGCGGTAAATACCGCGGAGGGCACCGCCCTGTGCGGCGAGCTTGCTCACGCAGTCGATGGGGCCTGAGTACAAACGGCCGGCGCCGTGAGGCTGTGCCTGCAGGCGAATACGTACATGCTCAATTGGGCCTGACAGCACGGAGTTGGTGATACCAGCGAATGAACCGGCCATGTAGTACTGGATGTAAGAAAGGGACGAGTTGGCGTACTTCTTCTTGTTCAGCTCTTCCAAGCGGCGACGCGCTTCATGGTAGGCACCGAATTGGACAGACACCTGGATTGGTCAGAGGTTTTGTCTATAACGGACCTTGGCCGCGGGGAAACTCACGCAAGCACCGATACCGATAAGCGGGGTCAGTGTGCCCTTATAGAAGGCCGCGGGACCTTCCTTCTTGAAAATCTGGGTGGCACACTCTAGCGCACTCTTGTACTGAGTGGTAGTTTGCAGGCGCACCTTGACAATGTCTGCCAATTTGTTAATCAGTGCATATTTGAAATGCGCTTTCAGATCACATACCAAAGGGTTGACCTAGTTTCTTGTTAGCAATGGCTTTGATATTGTATATTTGAATATTTTCTCAAGAAACCACCAGTCATGGCAAAAGTATCATCTCATCATGATCATGGCTTTTCCCCGGAATTCAAACAAAGTAGGGTGCACACATACCGAGGATAACTTGGGCCATTCCACCTGCTGCGCCCGCGGCCAAATCCTTGACGGTGCGGAGAGCACCGCCGCCCTGATCCATCATGTCAATTACCTCAGTCTCCATATTTGAAAGTATTCAATTGCGATCAAAAAGTATAGACAGGGACACAATCCAGAGACTCCAGACTTTATATCCAGCCCGCTTATCGCAATGGCGCCATCTGCCCTCTGATTCGATGAAAATGCCGAACCACGTGACTTTTCCGAGGGTCACCTTATATAATCAGGCACCCACAGGGGGCTGACCTAAGCAGTGACATAAGCTTGTCCTCTTGAACTTCTGCAAAGGGAAAAAAAGTAGCGACGGATCTAGATGTGGAGAGACTAGTGAATGATGCATCGTCGGCCAGTCTGCAGGGTAAGTTCGCAGATATTAATTATTAGGACATTATCTGACTAAAACTACAGCTATTGCGTCGGGCTGAATGGTCGAATTCAGTCTACCGAACACCCTCTTTAACAGCGCTTACAGTTCGACGGACCTTACGGTCCTCCGCAACACACTGGAACTCGTCAGACCCATCAGCCGGGAAAGATGACGGCGCTGTTTCAAATCAAGCTCCGGCGAAGCCCAAGTTCGGCAGCCGATGGGGCCCTAAACAAGCTACGCCATCGGGGGGCTTGAGTTTCGCAGAACAAGCGATGCGCCAAACCCTTGTCGCCAACAGCCAACCGCCCCCAGCACCTGCGCCATTGCAGCGGAGTCGCGAACAGACAAACCAGCAGAGGAAACCATTCGTGCGGCGCGCGGGCCCTCGGGATAATCAGGGATACATGGGATCAAGAGAAACCCCACGGAATCAGGAGAGGAACCCGTTTGAAGAAGGGAATTCAGGTGGCCACATGAGGTGGTCAAGAGATACTCCACGGAATCAGGGGAGGAGCTCGTCCTTCCAAGAAAGAAACCCGTTTGAAACAGACAACGCAGGAGGCTACTCAAGGTGGCCAAGAGGAACTTCGCGGAACGAGGAACGGAACTCTCCCACTCAAGAGAGAACCCCATTTGAAAAAGATAATCCAAGTGGATACATGAGGCGATCAAGAGAGCCCTCACGTTATCAGGAGAGAAATCAGTCTATCCGAGAATCCGCATTTGAAGATAACCCATTTGCGCCCGAAAGGACACCAAACAGATTCCAGGCCCAGTACCAGAGCAGGGCTACTAGGGACCATCCACTGGCACACGATGACTGGAAATGCCCTGAGTGCATGGCACATGTTTTTGCCACAAAGAAAGTGTGTCCATTCTGCAAAACCTCTCGACCCGGCGACGCCCAGCCAAAGCCCCGAACGACCAGACAGTTTAACGATTCTCCCGGACCTTCACAATTCAAACAGTCCCGACCCCCTTCTGATTATAATAGGAAGTTCCAGCGATTAGGGGATTCGGTTTTATCGGAGTTGGAACAAGACGTTCCGCCGAATACAGCTGAAACCACAAAGCGCGATTCAGAGCAATCTGACCAACCCCAGACAAAGGAGGGAACTGAAGATTTCAAGAAGAACCAGTGGACTTGGGATATGTCTGCGCTGGAGCAGCTGGAAAACCTAGAGGCACAAGAACAACAGCAGCCATCGAAGCCTATGAAGCGTCGTGATGGACGCAAGGGACGCCAGAACGAGGATTCTGATGGGGCTGAGGCCGACTTCGACTCGGAAGATCGCGAGCGCCTCCGCAGAGAGCGGAGACGCCTACAGAAAGAAAAGGAGGCCATGAAGGCTGCGAAGAAGGCCGCCGCGCTGGCAGCACCGGCTCCCCTCTACCTGCCCGAATTCATCAGTGTCAGTAACTTGGCCGACGTCATCGGCGTGCGGCCGGCGCAGTTTGTGCAGCGAATGGAGGAGATGGGTTTCGAGGAAATCACGTATAGGGATGTTCTTGATGCAGAAACTGCCGGATTGGTGGCAGCTGAGTTCAACTATGAGGCTATCTTCGACAGCGGCAAGGCAGATCTACACGCTGCCCCTGAACTAGAGGACACATCTGATCTGCCACCTCGACCACCTGTGGTTACTATTATGGGTCACGTTGATCATGGTAAAACTACAATCCTGGATTGGCTGCGCAAGTCATCTGTGGCAGCATCTGAACATGGTGGTATCACCCAGCACATTGGTGCATTCTCCGTAATGATGCCTTCTGGAAAAGCCATTACCTTCCTTGATACCCCCGGCCATTCTGCATTCTTGGAAATGCGTCGTCGAGGTGCCGACGTGACTGATATTGTGGTACTTGTGGTTGCCGCAGACGACAGTGTCAAGCCGCAAACTATCGAGGCTATCAAGCACGCTACCCAAGCCAAGGTTCCTGTCATTGTCGCCATCAGCAAAATTGACAAGGAGGGCAACAACCCTGACCGAGTCAAGGGTGACCTTTCTGTTCATGGTATCCATGTGGAAGACTATGGAGGTGACGTTCAGGCCATCGGTGTCAGCGGCAAGACCGGACAAGGAATGGTTGAACTGGAAGAAGCCATCGTTGCGCTCTCAGAAATGCTCGACCACCGCGCATCCACCACTTGTAACGTCGAAGGCTGGGTCATCGAGGCTTCTACAAAGAGTTATGGCCGTGTAGCATCCGCTCTCATCCGACGTGGAACCCTGCGGCCAGGCGATATCATTGTTGCTGGCACCGCGTGGGCTCGTGTCCGCACCCTCCGCAATGAAGCCGGTATGACCATCCCCGAAGCCACACCTGGAATGCCCGTCGAGATCGATGGTTGGAGAGAGCAGCCAGGTGCTGGCACCGAGCTCCTACAGGCACCCAACGAGCAGAAAGCCAAGGACGTCGTGGATTACCGCTTGGAGAGATCCGATACCCAGAAGATGGGTGTCGATATGGTTGCCATCAATGAAGCTCGTCGTGACCTTCTCGAGAAGCGCAGGCGCGAGAAAGAAGAGGAAGAAACAGTAAAGGAAGTCGAACCAACCGGTCCCAAGTCGGTCAATTTCATCCTGAAGGGCGATGTGGACGGCTCAGTGGAGGCGGTCTTAAACTCCGTTGCGGCAGTCGGTAACAACGAAGTCTTTGCCAATATCATCCGTTCGGGTGTTGGCCCTGTCAGTGAATTCGATATCGAACATGCTGGCAGTGCCAAGGGCAAGATCATCTCATTCAACCAGGCCATTGATCCTAATATCATGCGTATCGCAGAGTCAGAGGGTGTTGAAATTCTGGACCACAACATCATTTACAAACTGATTGATGACATCAAGTCCATTCTGAGTGAAAAGCTGCCTCCAACGATCACTATGCGTGTGACTGGAGAAGCCGAGATCCAGCAGGTCTTCGAGATCACTGTCAAGGGACGTGAAAAGACAGCCATTGCTGGAAGTCGTGTGCGTAACGGCCTGATCAACAAAACCCGTAAGGTCAGGGTGCTTCGCGGGGATGAGATAGTCTACGATGGTAAGCATATCACCAGCTCACGAATAACTTGGACCCAACTAACTTTTCACAGGCACAATGGTTTCGCTCAAGAACGTCAAGAAAGACGTCATTGAAATGCGCAAAGACACAGAATGTGGTATCGCTTTCGAAAACTGGACAGATTTCGCTATTGGTGACCACATTCAGTGCTACGAAGAGATCTCTGAGAAGCGCTATCTGTGAGATACTCGGTGATCTTAACATCTGTGCGGTCATGACTGCTTGTATTATTTTCATCTAGCACTCTCCATCCCCCTCATGATCTTCATTCAAATTTTGTATTATATTTTGCTTTGATATTGGCATGGTTGACTTGCATTCAGGGTCCGGGCGTTGTTGCATCTCTATGTACTAGGGACCGGAAGAAAGGCATAAAATCAATGTCATTAAGGAGGATGCTGCTATCGCAGCGCATGTGTAAATACTCAAATACCATGGCCGAATGGCCTCATTATCATCCACTTCTTCATACAAAACAGGAATAGTCGCACGAGTGGCCACTGTTTTTGACAATGTAGGACTCTAACATGTTGGGACTATAGCCGCCGCTTTATTGGGGTTGGCTGTCGAACTCAAATACCTAGCTAGCTGAAGGCGAGAGACGTTATTAAAGTATACCAAAGATAACTTTTTTGATGTATTCATATTTCAATGAAAGATTTACATCCCATTCGTGATCCAACGCGCCAGAGCCCCTAGCCCTCCCATCCCAAAGTGATACACGCATGTTGAAGGCAAAAGAATAACATAAAGGTGCTGAAAACGCTACAACTGATACAGAAAACCGCCGGCGTCCGCAAACTTCTTCTGATACTCCTTCAAGCTCGCCCACTGGCTCAGCTCTTCTTGATCCCGCTCATAATCACTCAAATAGCTCATAGCGCGGCCGTTCATCTGCGGACTGGCGCTGTCGGCAGGATTGGCCGTATCATTCATGGAAGAATGGCATTCTAGTCGGACAAGTGTCTCGATGAATGCGTGTAGGTAGGACTCCGCCTCTGTGGCGGTGAGGATGTGGTGGTCTGGCGGGGCGGCCGTTGGTGATGGTGATGCGGCGGCAGCGGTTGTAGGGTTTTGGGTTTCGGTTGTGGATTGATTTCGATGGGAGAGATTGAGAAGGGTGGATGCTACTTGCCGGATTTTACTAGTCTGGCTTTTGTTAGTTTGATACACGATCAGCGGTAAATGGTGGTCTGTAACGTACAATGCTTGCGCCGTTCGGCTCCATATTCACTTCATTCACTGTTCGTAATAGCACGAAGAGATCTTTGATGACCAGCTTGCGCTCTTCGGCCATCATGCGGTCAATATAGTCTGTGTGTGCATGGGGTTGAGCTTGGGTGTTGGTTTCTGATGGGGCTGTGCCAGTGGGAGTCGCACTCGCACTCTGTGTCGGATTTGGTCCTCCTTCAATTTTGATATGTGGTGTTGTGCTGGCCGTGGTCGTGAATTTAAGTGACTTTCCGTACTTTGAAAAAGTTTCGTAAAGGCTCCAGTACTTCTCGACTAGATAGGACCTGGTGCATAGCTGACTAGCATAAATGTTGGCTTTCTGGATCTCATACTGTATAGCACGTCGTTCTTGGTGGATGTGATCATTCGAATAACTAAAGATCGTCTCATCTTCGCCAAGACCTGACAGGCCCGCCGGGGATATGTGTTTTGGATGGCGAAGAGACAGCTCAGCAGGAACATTGACTAGTGTGGATTTTGCTTGCTTGAGACAATCCCAAATGCAGTTGCGCTGATGCTCCCAATTGAAAATTTGGCCGCTGCCAAATGCTATTTCCCAGGCTAGTAAGGTGGTGTATGAGCTGTAGACGCGGACATTTGCGTTAAACCCGACTAGCTGTGAAACTCGGTCGGATGGCTGTGGCTCAACATGTGTTGAAAATAAGAATTCATCGTCGATCTCCAGTGGAAGTGGTGGATAACGGTCCGTCGGTGTCTCCGGGGGAACATGAACCTTGATATCTGAAGAGCCCAGCTGGTGTAATGTCTGATGTCCGACAAAAGTGACGTAAAACAAACGCCGCCCTAGCTCTTGAGTGATGAGGTCGACACCTTGGCTTTCTGTGAAATTATGTGCCAATCTATCGTGCACCATTGCCGACGCTGATGATGGGCTGACGGGCCCTGGTGTCGAGGACGGGCAATTGGTGGTCGGAGACCGACATAAATCATACACTTGGAGCATGGCTCGGCATTCCGATAGGTACACACGGCATCGGCGCATGTTGTAAATATAGCCGGAACATATAGCGAGAAAATAGCTGATTGCCGCGTCGTAGACTGTTGCATTGCGATCAAGATATCCAGTCCCGCGAGCTTGAATAGCAACGTCAAGGCACCTCTTAACTAGAGCTATAGAATTGGGGAAAGCGGTGCGTTCGGCTTCAGTGTTGAGCCGAAGTTTAGGTCGTCGAGGAAAAGAAGCCACGAGCAGTCCAATCATTGATGCCAACAGTGCCAAAAATGTGTGGTTAGTGACATCTTCTCGGCGCTCAAAAGCTGCTCGAAAAGAAGGCTCATGTGGAATTGGAACCAAAGGATGGATGTAAGTAAAAAAGTCATCGAGCAACATCTGCATCGTGTGCAGAGAACAAATTGATTCCACCGAAAGGGGGGATGATGCAGATGGGGGGTTGGTGCATTGCGTTGCCAGGGGAGTCGTCGCCGATGGATAGTCTGCCGGGCTCAGCGACGCTGCATCTTCAGGTTCCCGTTTTTGTTTCTTAAACGCCTCTGCATGGCGGTTTGGAGGCCCGCGGCGTCTACTTGGTCTTTCATAGGTGCAGGGAATATCCAAGCTAGCGCATGACCGACAAGGTGGCCCACCGGTATCGCACTTGCATGGAAATCAGTACTTTCCCGCAAATTATAACAAAAACTCCATGTGTAGGACATACCTTCACTTTTCGAATACTGCAGGCATCGCAGGCCTTGCGCAGCCTTGTTTTCAGGTCCATCGAGCAGATTGCCGGGAAGACCCCACGAACTGTCAGGTCATGTTTAACCCAAAGACACCAGAATATTCGGAATCCAGCCCTATGAAACGAATCGAATCTAGGCCTATGAAATGCCGAAATTGTAGTGCCGAACGGAAATAAGCCAACCTTAAAAAAAAAGCTGAACTGGGAATCTCGGGGGAGAGCTCCGAACGAAGTCCGGGGGTCACACTTCCGGATTTGCTAAGCGGGTACAGCCCTGTCTTGGAAATCTGGGGTTAACATCTTTAAACCTCTTTAGTAACCGACAATTGTCTTTATTTAGATGTCTTAATGCCTTGCTAGAGATGATTAAGCTATTATAATGTGAATATATTAAAAACATAGAGACACAGTCACGTGCTCATATCCAATCCCTTTTTACGCAGTTAATCACAGGGAATTACAAGTAAAATCTTAACGAGAAGCATTGGGCTGTGGTCGGCTCGTCCCTAATAGCACATAGGGGCTCCCGTCATTCGCCTAAAGAAGGAAGCAGAAATAGAAAATTAGATGCATTTTGCAGTAACCTCGGGTCACCAGAAAGAGATCAATGTACCTTTCATAGATCATGGCATAATATCGTCATGGTATTGCTCACCCAGCCGACTGGACTGTTGATTGATAGCACGTCGCTTGCGTTCGATGTCCGTCACCCAAAGTGCCGAACCAACAGCTGTGGTCATCAAAAATAACATTGAGAAAGGAGGAATCAATTGGAGGACCAGAGCCACCGTTCCAAAGCTAAATTGTGTTAGATCTCATATCGATAGGGTAAGAAAACATGACTTACGTAGTGTACTGCAGCTGACGCCGACTAATACTTTCCTTTCTCTGCTGCTTGGACATGTCCAGCAGGTGGAAGTAACGCCAGTGATGGAAGGGACCGGCACGATAGCCAGTCAAAACTAGGAACATAGGAGTGCCAGCCACCGGAATAAAAATAAGCGGAAGCAGAATGATAAATTCAGCGATCTGCCGGAATGAAAATGGAGAGTACACGGCACTGGTGGTCGGCGTGCCTAGACGCTTGGCCGGGTTGCCGGGCTCGGGATAAATGACCCGCGAAGTGGTAACAAGCTCTTCCTGGCCCTCATTTACCAAAACTGCATCAAAGATATCTACTAGCGTCTCATCGACAAAGAATGCCTCGAAGAGTGCGGCAACGATCGCTGCTCCTTCACCAAGCACTAGGAATGCGCCGCTTACCCATGCCGAGCTACCCTGGAAGATGGCAAGGAAGGCAACCTGGGGCAGGTAGGTGAAAAAGAACAGGATGAAGTATATGAAGGACGAAAGAAGGACGATGGGGAGAAGGCGGGCCTTGAAGAGAGGCCATAGGAACCGATTTGATACAAAATAGTATATTCCCTATGTAGGTTAGTCCTGAAGCTTTGGAAATTATCAAAATAACTTACCCAGAAAGGATACAGCCAAGCAGCCCGGCTAGGATCCAGGAGTCGCGACATGGCTTGCAGGTGCACAGCTTCAAAGAAACCCTACCAACGGCAATGGACGAGTTCGAAAGCAGGCAGCACCTTATCGATAAGCTTGCACGTGATCCATTGATATCAGCCTGGCTGACTAAGCCACTACTATTTCATAGAGAAATTTTTCGCCGAGCGCCCTTTTCCTTTTCTTCTTCACATAAACTGAACTCCTCCCTATTCACTCTGAACTTTTGTTACAATCACTGTTCTGGAGGGGAAATGGGAGGAAAGACCAATTCTGCTGGCTTACCCCAAATTCTTCTACTCAAGCGTGGAGCGTTTGGAAATATATTCAGCTGTACATTCCTCTTTTTCAAGCCTGTTTTGGTGTTTGGAGCCTTTTTCGAAGATCAATCTTGGACCTCCCGGCTTAAACCGGATGTCTATGAATTTCGTTCACAATCTGCTCCAGACTGTGTACAATGACCGTTGGCTGTAGATCTGGAGCCACGGCATCCTTCCATCCCGTACCAATGCGATCAACCCATATAGCTTGCATGCCTGTAGCGCGCGCCCCGACAATGTCGAAAGGGTTGCCGCTAATAAGCCAAAGTTTGCTCATATCCGATGGGTTTTGGCCTGTCTGCTTCGCTAGGTGCTCGTAGCTTGCCTTTGATGGCTTATATTGCTTGACTTCGTCTACGGTGACGATATCTTGGAAGATGCTCGCGTGCGGCGAAAGGTCCTTGGACCGCAACACCGAGTTGGACACCATAGTTTTCGTCCCGTTGGAGAATATCACAGCTTGGATGTTGGGGTCTGCAGCTATCTGGGTCAGAGCTGGCTTCACGTCAGAAAACGTCGAGAGACTGTCGTAAGCTTGCATCAAGTGTTCGATGTTGTTGTCGCTCAGCTGCTCGTTGTTCTCGGCCAGCGCGTGTAATAGACAGTTACGTGTGATGGTTGAGAAGTCTTCATAGCGGCCTTCTGATGGTCAATAATTTGGAGCGCTAAGCTTAAGAAGCGTTGCTTGCCCATGCTGTTCAATCTCCATGTGTACTCAAGTTGATACCGCCTCCAGAGCGCGGAGATCGACTGCGCCTTGGCATTGTCACAATGTTTCTCTAGTTGTTTGGCGATTGATTCAGTTGAGAGTAAAGTACCATACAAGTCAAAAGCGACAACTGTCTTGACTGTCATGTTTCATAACTTTGGAATGGATGAGCAGAGAAGTCAAGGCGTTGAAGAATGCAAGTTAATGAAGTTGATGAATGATGTCAATCTCCCGTGGGGCAAAACACTCTCTCTGCCCGACATCCTTCCTAAACCAAGGTGTAAGGTCCAGGCCTTTCTCCCAATTGAATCTCAATGACTTCCAATGAGAACTATGCCGTATTCCGCGAATGTCTGTCTAATGCCATTGTGGCCCGCTCTGAAGAAAAACCGAAGCCAACGCGACGGAAGCAAAAGGGCAAGCGCACCGAGCGCAAAGACGTAACAACACTCTCCGCAGGGAGAGCAGACCCAGAAGAGCTCGCCGAATTTGTTGATGTACATGCACCCAACCAGACCAACCCAGCGCAACAAGCCCTCAGGCCCAACAAAACCTACACTTTACAGTCAGCAACTAACAAGACCCTAGCTAACAAACCACAGTTTCTAGCCTCAGAAACCTTCGCCATATTCCCAGTTCCCCTCCAAACCCTAAGCTACGCAGCCATCCAACATGACCCAGCCCTATCAACCCTCTACATCCCCCCAGACACCGACACGCCCCTCCCACGCGCCACACTCGAATCGCTATTCTCCCCAATACCAGTCAGCGTAACGGACTCCCTACTCGTCTATGGCATAATCCCCGACGCGTCAGACCTGCTGGACTTCCTCGCGCCTGTGTTGACAGAGTACACATCGAGCGTGACGACTGGCCCTCCGGCGTGGGCGAGTACGCGCGCGGACGCTTGCGAGATCTGCGAGCGTGACTGGATCCCGCTTTCGTATCACCATTTGATTCCGCGCGGGGTGCATGCGAAGGTTGTTAAGAAGGGTTGGCATGATGAGTGGATGTTGAATAGTGTGGCGTGGCTTTGTCGCGCTTGTCATAGTTTTGTGCATCGCATGGCGAGTAATGAGGAGCTGGCTAGGGAGTGGTTTACTGTTGAGAGGATTTGTGAGAGGGAGGATGTGAGGGATTGGGCTATGTGGGTTGGGAGGGTTAGGTGGAAGGCGAGGTAGATGTAGTTGATGTCTATGTGTGGTTGTAGGATTCAACTGTGAGTATTTTCTGAGACTCGAAGGATATGTATACCATGGACATGACAACACACCATCCTATATGAATCTAAATGGGCAATGGTCTTTGAGGTTGGTGTTGGATACAATAGCAAAGGCTAGTATGTACATCACTAAGGGACTAGCGAGGGCTAAAACATCATGACGTTCTTTTGTGGCTCAGCCTGAATATAAGTCTTTGTATTAACTTGTAGGTATAAGTAAGAAACGTTTCGACATGAATAGTTAGAAAAACAGAGAAAATAGTCTGTAAATTACCAAAAAAAGGCTTCGATAATTAAAAATAAATAAAACAATCAACTTCCTCCCAATCTTACACTTAATCCCGAGTAACGGTGGCAGTAACAGTCTCAGTAATGCGATCTGTCACCGTCTTAGTCTTGATCAGGGTTTCAGTGACTGTGAAAAAGCCAGACGGCGTAATCGGATTCACAGTAAGTATGCCTTTGCCTGGCTTGGTGGTCGTGGTAGATACATCAGCATCAATGGTAGATGTTGGATCTACTGCCTGTGTAGTTTCCACCGCTCGTGTGGCAGACGACCCATCAAAGGTCATGCGAGCGGTTTGCGTGGAAGTGACGTGGGATGTCGCTGTAGGTGCAGGCTCACGTGGAGCAGTCTCACTCAACGAGGGTAACAACGGAGGAGACGACGATGTTGTCGAATGAACAGCTAATGGAACAATACTTGCGGAAGTGACACGGACTGTCTCCGTCTCCGCAGAACCAGTCTCACTATACAGACTTGTGGAAGTGACACGGATTGTCTCCCTCTCCGTAGAAGCAGCCTCACTAGGCGGCAACGACAGAGGAGAGGATGATGTTGTCGAATGGACAGTCAATAAAACAATACTTGTGGAAGTAACACGGACTGTCTCTATAGAAGCAGTCTCACTAGGCGGCGAGGACAGAGGCGATGGCGGTGTTGTCGAATGGATAGTCAATAAAACAATACTTGTGGAAGTGACACGGACGGTTTCTGTAGAAGCAGTCTCATTAGTCGTCAACGACGAAGACGATGCCGGTGTTGTCGAATGAACAGTCAATGAAACAATATTTGTGGAAGTGACATTGACTCTCTCCGTTTCCGTAGAAGCAGTCTCACTAGGTGGCGACGATAAAGGCGATGTCGATGTTGTCGAATGAACAGTCAATGGAACAAAACTTGTGGAAGTGACACGGACGGTTTCTGTAGAAGCAGTCTCATTAGACGTCAACGACGAAGACGGTACCGGTGTTGTCGAATGAACAGTCAATGGAACAATATTTGTGGAAGTGACATTGACTGTATCTGCAGAAGCAATCTCGCTTGAGGAAGGCAACAGCAAAGACCCAGAAGGAAGCGATGTTGTTGTCGAGTTGATGGTCAGAGGCACTGCGGACGTTGCATTGAGGTGAGCCCCTATAGGCGCTGCATTCACACTCGTAGCGCTCCCAGTTGTGGCCAGAAAGACCGAAGAATCAGGTGATGATGTTGGGGAAACAGTCACACGAACAACCGATGTTCTAGTGGAATGGACGGTCACAAAGTTCAAAGACGTACTTGTTGTTTCAACAGACGGTTTTGCCGTTAGTTTCGCTGACGACACCGACGAGTTGACACTGGGTGTCTGTTCGATAACGCTTGTCGAAAATGGAATTGGTGCTCCCTGGGTAACATAGACGATCACAGGCTGGGTTACGGTTGCCACAGGCTTGGACCTTGACATGGAAGCCTGTACTTGCGTAGAGTTTGCCGTGATAGAGCTCGCTAGTTGGATAGAATTGGAGGTCGGGAGCGTGGGTGTAGATGTGGAAGAATTGCTACTGCTTCCTAAAGGTATAATGGCTCCAACGGCTGGGATGCTACTTGTAGGCACTGTGGGCACTGGTGCTATCGCTGGCTGTATGGTGGTAGAGGCCGAGGTTGGTGGTGTGGTTGTGGCAGCTTTGATGCTGTTTGCTCCACCTAGAAGCCCAGCTGAAGAAGGTTGGTATGCACCCGGTATCACCACGGAATCGAGGGAGGGTGCGGTGCTTGAAACATAGACAGGGACTATATAGACAGGTAAGAAACTGGATGATGAACGCAGCACTCCCGGATTTGTGGACGTGATTATGTATCGCCGGGTGGTGGTGAACGCACTAGAAGTGGTGGTTGGCAACTGAGATGTAGTTGGCAACTGAGAGGTCGTTGGCTTCTGGGTCGTTGCTGGTTTCTGAGAGGTCGTTGGTTTCCGAGAGGTTGTTGGCTTCTGAGTCGTCGTCGGCTTCCGAGAGGTCGTTGGTTTCCGAGTCGTCATTGCCACAAGCGATGTAATTGCCATCTGAGAGATGGTTAGCTCAGTAGCTTAATAGTATATAAAAAGGCAAAGATACTATTGGATCATCGTAAGTAAACGATATATGGGTAGACGGCGAAATAGGCGACGCAACAGGCGTGACTGCGGTGATACCACCAGCTTCACGCCGTTCGATATTCGGCAATAGTGGCGAAGAAGTCGGCTCAGGAGCGCCCAATGACTCGGATTGCCAGCGAGATATCGGGCCAGCTGAAGCCGGCCATGGCAAAAGAAGGAACAAAACGAACTGAAAGCGAGACATCCTTTAAAAACGAGAGTGTTGGAAGTGATCGCCAGGACACAACTTCGACAGAGAAAGTGGGACAGTAAAGAAAATTGGGTGCTCAGACAGAGATATAATAGATCGTTCGAATAAGATAGAAATAATCACACGTATTGAAAAGCATAGCCAAAGAAAATATTATAAAATTAATGTGTATACAAGGCCTGGGCGTCTTGATGGCTTGCAAATGAAAGAATGGCTGGATCACCAGGGACCACAAAAGCGAAGGGGAACAAAAGAATGGGGGGGGCGAGATGAAGCAAACTGAGACTTTTACAAGAAAGAGATTTTTCTTTCAAACGTCTCGCCATCGAGGATCCCAGCTAGTATATCTGCATTTTGGGGGTTTCATAGGAGGCCGGGTTGGGCTTAGGGCGGGTTGGGCTTAGGGCTTCCTGTCAGCCGCCCATTGTTCCAGCCTTGACAAATTTTCCATAAATTCCACAGCAGCCCAATGCTATTAGTCCCAGAGGGAACCGCTATTGCAAGGGGCTCTTTGTGAGACGGAATCTATGCTAGAAATAGATCGCGCGACAAAGAGACGTTGCAGTAGGCGCCCAGCTCTGGTCGATGACGCGTGGTGATTGGCCGGCTGCAGGGGTAGGACCACTTTATTATTTTATTGAAGATTACATGTTGACATATGGACTGAGTGGATTTATAGGCCGAAAGTGTCTGGCCAATTCATTTACGACGTGTATGGGCGCGTAAATTGAGATATAATTACTACCTGGTTACTCCGGGGATGTAGTATGGCAATTAGATTGTTCCCTTTCATTCAGCCTGTCATTCCACAACTATATTATAAATGAGTCAGACTATTAAGTCTTAACTGTAAAAGTCCCACTAATACCCTCGAATGACGAGATTTGGCCAAGAGGATTCTTTGAGTCTCCATAATAACGCATCCGATAGGTTCCAGCCTGCAGGGGGGTCGCAGTGTCGATACTATAATACTCATCCTCAATCTCCCATTGAATTGTCACCTCACTGTAGCCAAGAGCGCCATTGGTCCGCTTCCAGGTATAGACCAAGTTCCAGTCGCGGTCATTGCGCACGACCTCCCATTTCCCAGAATCGGATTTTCTTTCAACTGCAGCGTAGGTCGATTCGAGATGTAGATTGTTGCGGGGATTGGCGCCAACAAAGGTCGTCTTGACAATATCTCCGGGTCCATAGGGTCCACTCCCTGGATTTGATACCACGTCTCCAAAGTGCTTGCTAGGGGGCGTTCCGTCATACACAACCCCCGGAATGAAGCTCAATGAGATGTTGGTGTTGATTGGTGGGGTGGGGCCGGGTTGGATGGCTGGAAGTTTTACAACTTCCGAGGAGCTTCCCAAATATGGCAGGTAGGTGAGGGTCAAATTGACATAGGCTGCTAGTGTGTTTGGGCCGTAGAGTGTGGACGCGCCCTCGTAGCGCTGGACGTTGTATTCTTCCTCGGTTGTCACGTAGTGAGCGTAACTATTTGATGGGGCGCCCAGTACCACTAGGGGGTCGGAAACGGAAAGATGTTTCTTTGCTCCTTTCGCAATAGCCTCCTTCCAGCGTCGTCCAGACATCGTGGTAGCTTCGCTGGTGGAGATAACGAGGAAGAGCTGACCTACTCGCAAAACCTGTATGTCAACAATGTCCGCGGCCCATGCATAAGGTTCAGTGAGAGTGCCAATATCCAATAGCACGTTCTTGGGGCTTTGGCACTGCTGCTGCTTTTTGCTGGGCTGGTGGATAACTGCACGCGCAATCTTCCACAGGGGGTTTTTTCCAGCTGGACCAGTAGCATTCTGGGTAAAGTCAAAGGCACCGGGTCCGTCTGTAGTTCCAGCGGCGAATGAGTACCCCATAGCCGCAGGACAAGTCGTTAGCGTACTAGAGTTGAATGGCGAGGGGAAAGTGTAGCCATTCATGTCATTGTACACATGGAAAGACTTCACCGCCGAACTTCCAGTAATCTTAATAGGGGTGGTGTCCATTTCTTCGTAAAGCTTCTTTGCTGCTGAGTACTGACGGCGCCCAATCTCGAAGCAGCTTTTCGCTCCGTTATCTTTCTCTCGGAAGAAAGGACCTCGACCATGGCAAGCCTCGTTTTTGCCACCGCAAGTGCTATCTTCATATCGACACTTCTCTCCAGAGCCGTCTTCACACCAGGCTCCCAAGATATTAGGCGATGTGTCCCCGACATTCGCTTGGGAGAATCCAATAACGGCGTCGTCGGTAAACCGCTCATCGCCGTGGATGCTGCGCTCGAAGAGGTAAGCTGCGACACCTTTATTATCGCCAGTGACCAAACTGTTATTGTTGTACAAAGATGTGCCGTGAACAGGGAACCATGTCAAGACAGCCGTTGTTTTCTTATCAGATTCGCGATCAAAACGAATAAGCGAGAGCGTTTTTTCAACATCGGCAGAATACCGCGCTCGTTCTTCCTTAGGGTTATGCTCGTATGAAAAAGGACTGCGATTGATATTGGTATCTTGCAAATCGATGGATCCAAAAGAGAGCCGACCTGGCTCTAAGTTCTCATGGGCACGGATGATTGATCGAATAGTACCATCGACAATAGCTTGATAGCTTTGCTTGTTGAAACCCAATGACGGTACCTGGGGCAGCAAGTAGTTCATCCACGCTCCAGGGCCGGAGTGCGAATGTGTCCCCGTCATTGCGACGTTGTGTTCACCGTACCTTGCATACTTCCCACCGAGCGCAGTGAGACCCTCCAGGACACCATGTCGCACGGCGGTGTCACCGGTAAGTGTATCGAGAACTAGGTACACAAAAGTGTCATCGGGGTTGTTTGGGTCTGCGAAGATGAAGGCGCGGGAATACAGTCTCTGTTTTAGACCAGTACCTAGTTGGTCCAAACTGGCATAGCCAGCGAGGGCAAGTTCCACAACGGGCCTAGTAACGTTAGCCAACTTAGTGCCCTGTACATTTATATCCCAAAAATAAAGCATAAACATACCCAGTTACGTCTGCCTTGCCCGCTCCGACCAAAAAGATATCATCAGCTGCCTCCGCGTTCGCTCTGGCTTTCCACTGGTTGAAATTTGAACTAAAGCTAGGCGGCGGCGGTGACTGGACATCAAGTTTGAATACCGCAATCAGCTGCAAAAACACCAGTGCCCCAAGAGCCACCCCAGCTAGGGTAACGCCCAAGCGGAAGTTAGCCATTATAGAGAAGGGTTTGCCAATATGTATAGAGTCTATGACATCAGCAGATAAGATGCGATGAGTGCAGGCCTTGAAAAGACGAACTCTCCTAGGGAGATACGGGTTCTTATACAAGTGCACTAGCGGGGGATACAGTGGGAAGAGGAACGAGCTACCTGTGCATACGATGATTACCCAAATACGCTAGGGCTGAGAACGAACCCATTAGTGTACATCGAGTACTCGGTACAACATAGGTGACATTCGTCTAAGCGAAGTACAGTGGCTTGGGATCGTCATATATTGAATCCCGCACACCCAAAAAGGGATAGACTTTCACTGCACTTCCCCCGCACGGAATGAGCTGGTCTGACTGCACTTGTGAAGACTAGAATGCCTTGTTTTCAGCCAGTCAGTAAGCTGGGAACTTGCATAAGGATTCAGGCACCTCGGATAATGCAGTTCAAACTGGATAAGATCATCGTTTGAGTCGGGGATATCCTAGAGAGCAATGCCATTCGTCCAAGCATTTCCCCGGACTCCCAGACCCTGGTTATTTCTCTGCAGCCACAAACCAACATATCCCATGACTCAAATGGAGCTGCGAGCGAATTCACATTGGATAAATTAAATACCCTACAAAATAGGTATACTGTTCGTCTTGTTTGTTCCTACCTCGGCGTGTATATAAAAGTAGAGGTCACGTGACTATAACTGGCTGAGCCAGCTGCGCTCATCTCGCCGCCTTTGTCACCGCCTTCATATAGCAATGATTCTCAGATTAATCTACTCTTGGTCTTCACATCCATACAAGAACATCACTACAAAATGCCGTTAATCAACGACTCACATGACTCGCTGCCATGTATGTACCGTATAAGACGAGATATATGCATTTGGGACCCATATCACTAACCTTTCAAGATATTGACCCGGCGCCCACTGCGTCCGAGCGAGCGCGAGCGCAGCAGCTCATCAATGCAGAGCTATCCCCGGAGCACGCCTCCACAATGCACCCTTTGATCCCGGAAGCGCCAGAACCAAAATTCTCCCAATTCATGCAACAAGAACTCGCGCGCAAAGCGCAAGGAGCACCTCTCACAGGCGGCATCGATCTATCCCGTTACGAAGCACCAGAGGCGCCGACTCCCACACCAGACAACGAGACACCCGATCTAGCCAAATCCAACCAGATTTTACAGCAGGCATATGTATCATGCTCATACTTGTCCGAGCGCAACAAGAGCCTGGGTCTGCTGGAGGAGTTTGGCAAGAACGCTTGGCTAGTTGGCAATTCGCAGCTCGAGGAGGTACTCGGCTCTCTTGAGAAGGAGTTGGCAGAGACGAAGGCGGCTTCTGAGGAGGTTAATAAGCAGAGAAAAATTACACAGGAGGCGAGCCAGGGTGAGCTTGTCAGTTTGGAAGAGACGTGGAAGCGTGGTCCTGGGGCAATTCTTAATGTTGAGTTGGCGTCTGAGAGTTTGCGCAGGCAGAATCTTGACTATAGGCGTCAATTGGCTCAGCAGCAGGCTCACTCATAGAAAACTTTCGTCTTGTTTGTGTACGATCTTTCTGAGAAATGAAAGCTTGTCATTGTAGCGATCTTCTGCTGGCTGAGGGGTTCATGTCATTGGTCGCAGTCTGCTTGGTGGAACGTTTGCATGGTGAAGTGCGATATGTGTGACTTGAGGACGCCCTGTTCCTTCGCCCATGAACATTTCGGACAATGGCCTATGTGTGTCGTTCTTGCTTTTGCGCCGAGGACTTGTGCTCGCCCACATGGCTTTTACGAACAGCATGCTCTCGTTGGGCCATGACTATCTCAAGTTATGACTTCCTATGGGGATTCATCAACGCTCATACCAAACTCCAACCAAAAACAGCATTTGCGCTCAACTGAAGATTGGGGAGGAATGAGGCCCTGATGTGGCCGGGTACTGCTGGTCAGCTCCGGCTATTCCAAGCAGAAGATTCAATGAATGATATTTCCAAAGCCCTTCTGTCCATTCTAATTCACGCCAACCCATCTCCCAATTTAGAACTAAACTCCTAACCAGTAAAGACCAATTTGCACGCCAAATTTTCGCCCACTAAATTAACACTTTTCTACTGAGATCAGTCAAATCATCACACCCTCGGCGCAACATTCAAACTCTTCAGACCCATATTGTCCATGACCTCAATCCCCTTCCCCTCCTTCGTATTCCAATCGACAAGCCGCCGACACAAACCATCAAGGGTAGTGAGAGGTGGGTTATACCCCAACCCACCCATCTCAGGCGCCAGCTTTGCGCGCGAATCATCAGCAAAGACATGCACATTGATAATGAAAAACACCGACGGCTGAAGCTGCGCAATATCCCCCGACAACTTCGGCAACCAGGGAAGATATTTATACTGCAAGAAAGCATACATCTCAACCAAATACGCCATCGCCAACAACGGCGCGGGGGGCACATCGGGAAACGAAACCGGCGTTTTAGACAACGTCGCGAGCAGCGTGTATAAATCCCCAAACGCTATCGCCGGGTTGGGGTCGCTAACAATGAACGCCTGACCACCTGTATTCGGTAGCTGCGAACCAGGCTCGCTTTGCTGGATCAGACGCTGTTCGTATAAGAGATGTGCGATCGAGACGTTCTCGGCATGCACGAAACTCTGCAGGATCGGACGAGCCCATGTCGGACTGCCTCCGTTCTGGAGGTACAGGCCCGTCATGACATTATTGGCTTGGCCGCCTGTGCCATAGACGCCGTTTGTAGGGCGGATACAGCCTGTGCGGAAATTTGTTGCTGGGTTATCTGCTTCGCGGACGAGACGTTCTGCTTCGGTCTTTGTTACGGCGTAGTTGCTGAAGAATTGGTCGTGGGATTGGGGTAGTTTGGTGCTGTCGCTGATTACTTGGACTACGCGCTTGGGGTGGGTCTCCCATGGGGCGATCCAAAATGTTGGTTGGTGAAGGGCGATAGAGCCTGAAGATGTCCAGATGAAGGCTGTGGCGCCGGCGGCTTTTGCGGCGTTCAGGACGTTTCGTGTGCCGTCAATGTTGACTTTGGTGCTAAGTGGTAGGAGACTCTTGAGTCTGTCTTGGGGTCGGATTATGGCTGCCGTGTGGAAGACTGTTAGGGGGAGGCTGGCGATATTTGCACTCCATGGCTCTTCGAATGCTGTTGTTACTGCGAGTTCGTCGGTGATGTTGGTTTTGATCCAGACTACGCCTTTGTTGAGGATGTCCTGCTCTGGGGAGATTAGGTCTAGAATTCGAATGGCTTTGGGGTCTTCGCCCCGTGCGAGGAGATGTGAGACTATCCAGGCACCAACTAGACCTGTAATAATGTGGAGTCAGTAGATGTATATCAGCGGCTTGTATCTATACGTACCAGTTCCGCCTACGATCACATATCGTCGGGATTGTTTTGGAGGTAGGCTCTTGGTCACATCGATAGGGGCTTCCAGATTCTTTTTATAGGCTGCTTTAATTTCTTCGAGTGTCCAACGATGCGGTGATAATTTCTGTGCCTCTTCGGGTACTATTTTCATAGCAGCATTAACATGCCACATATAGAGAGCAACCAGTCCAGCCAGACCGGCTATAAGGGACATCATGATGGATTACAGAATACTTTCTCCAAGGTTGCAATCTCGGGGTTTTAAAGAAAGGTTACAAGGGAGTACAAAAAGTTGCCGTAGAGCTGTTTGAAGGTCTAGATTTAAAGTAACTTGTTTCAGGGATGAAACATATCTGAGGTCGCTTAGATCTTTCGGCTGTTTGAGCCCGTGCTTTGTGGAGCAAACGGTGAAATTTTGTTTGTCGCCGATTTACATGGGTTGGAAGGCTTTATAAATGCCTACATAGTATATTGTAGGTAAATTATTGTAAGGATTTTATTGACTAAATATGAATTATATTTCTTTTAGACCTCGGGAATTGATCGAAATAGGAAGTTCATTTTCTTCCCCAGAACTAAGAACATTGAAACCTCGGGGAGAATATAATACCCAAAGTAATCGGCAAACCGGCACATTGCCCAGAACGTGTTTCGGGCCTATGTGGAGAGAGTTGGGTCGAACTTCTTATTTTATGGATATCTTAGCTATTGCCCATGGGGAAAATCATGCCAAGCGTAGAGAAAGGAACTGAATATTCTATACAAATTTATATAGCTTCTCTATGTTGTAGGGAATTATCCTTAGCTATCTTCTCATAGCCCGAGTTCTTCAAGTCCACAGCCCTAAAAACTCTACAAGTCTTATGCTTATCACTTTCGGCCCCACCTGAAAACTCCGAGTTTTAAGTGATTGCTCAGCCCTTTGTTAGTGTAATTTATATCATCTTGCAGGACTGATACTTAAACCCCTAGGCTGAAGGGTTTGGTAGAATATCTCTAGAAAGAAATAGAGAACGAAATTTGCTCCTTTACTACAGCTTCTCCCCGAAGACAGACCCATATATTCCTATTTCCCCTATTTCTTCACAGCTCCTCACACTGGAGTAGATTGCTCATTTGATTTCCTGTATACACCATTAGCTCCCTGAACATTGGTTCTCTATTTGAAAGGCCAAGCTTCTGGGGATGGCAGCTCAACACTCCAACCTGGAGAGTCAAGATAAATGGCCTGAAAACACAGAGAGGATGTCCCGGGACACAGATTCTATCGAGTCCATTTCCACGGTAGACACACAGACCGATCGCGATGCACTAGGAAAGACATTGACAGCTCGCGCCTCGCGAACCTCTCACATGTCAATGACGGAACGAGTAACCACAATCGCAACCAATGCCACCGCCGATCCCGACTATGAGGTTGACTGGGATGGCGACAATGACCCCGAAAACCCTAAGAACTGGAGTCTCAAATATAAGGCCATGTGCATTTTGTTTCTGTCGTGGAATACTCTCATCGTGTAAGTTTCGATATCTCTATGTTATAAAACATGAGGTTCTCGGGCTAACACACTCGGAAGCGTGCTATATTCAACTTCTTATACCTCAGGCATTGCACTAATCTCCGAGGAATTCGGCCAGTCCGAGACTATCGTCACCCTCGGATTGACCTTCTATCTGTTTGGTCTTGCATTCGGGTCTATGTTCATGGCCCCGTTGAGCGAGGTCTACGGACGGAAACCTGTCTGTGTAGTTTGTCTAGCCATATTCACAGTTCTGATTATCCCCTGCGCGCTCGCAAAGTCTGTCACGGCACTGATCGTCATTCGCGTTATCGCTGCTTTCTTTGGCAGTGTCATGATCTCTACTGCACCCGGCATGGTAGCTGATTTGGTGAACGATGAGCACCGTGCTCTGGCAATCTCTGTTTGGAGTATTGGACCACTCAATGGACCAGGTTTGTCCTTCTGTCCTCCTTTTCTGATATGAGTCCATTTCTAACAGGATATAGTAATCGGTCCTGTTATCGGAGGCTTCGTCACTCAATATCTTGGCTGGCGCTGGATGTGCTGGATCGCCCTCATCTTCTCTGCCGTTGCTTTGGTCTTTGCTGTCATTCTGAAAGAAACCTACGCACCAACCCTTCTCCAAAAGAAAGCAGCCAGACTCCGCAAGGAAAGCGGCGAGTCCCGCTGGTGGAGTCGCTACGACCAAAAGGCGAGCCTTCCAGAGATCCTCAAGCTAAACCTCAGCCGACCTTTTGTAATGGCAGTCACAGAGCCAATCTGGTAAGTTTGATGCATTTCACAGCAAAACATGAAACTAACTCCATCCCCAGCATTTTCTGGAACATCTACATCGCAATAATCTACGGCATCCTGTACCTATGCTTCGTAGCCTACCCAATCGTCTTCAGAGAAATCCGCGGATGGCAATTGGGCATGTCCGGACTAGCCTTCCTAGGCATCGGACTCGGCGTCCTCATCACAATCGCCTGCGAACCCTTAGTCCGGCGGCTAATCAACAGCCACGCCAAAGACCCCGAGACCGGAAAACCATACCCAGAAGCAATGGTATCGTTCGTCTGCATCTGCGCAGCGATTATCCCAGTCGGTGAACTCTGGTTCGCATGGACCTGCTCCCCAGCTTCTATCCACTGGATCGCGCCCCTGCTCGCGGGTATTCCGTTCGGCGCAGGAAACACCGGCGTCTTCATCTATGCATCCAACTACTTGACCCACAGCTACGGCATGTATGCTGCTTCTGCTTTGGCGGGCAATTCGGTTATTCGCAGTATCCTCGGCGGTGTTCTGCCACTTGCTGGCTCTTCTATGTATGCCAGTCTGGGACCGAATTGGGCGGGCACTCTACTCGGGTTGTTGGAGGTTATTATTGTGCCGATTCCGTTTGTGTTTTATAAGTATGGACATAAGATTCGCATGAGGAGTCCCCTTATTATGCGTATGCAGGAGGAGAAGAAGAAGTTGGAGGGGAAGCGGGCTAGGAGGCAGCTTCAGCGTCAGCAGATGAATGGGTTAGATGAGAAGGCGGGAGAGACGGTTTAGGATTCCCTATGGATTTTTCGTTTGATTTACGTCTTGATACCCCTCGCCTTATATCTGAGGTGCTTGAAAAGTAATATAGCAAAATATATAATGCAGAGACACATTAATGCGTGAGTGGCTTGGTTTCATGTAATCATCTGAGCCATTATAGATGCTTCTCAGTGTGTAAACTGTATCATTCGCTCGACACGCTGAGAGTTGCAAAGGATTCTCTCATACTCCCCAATGGCAATAGCTCCCGCTGGGAAGATCATGATTGCCTCAATATACACCGGACGAGGGGGGACCGTAGAGGATCCTTGACCTAGCTGATTCGCATCGTCGGGGGTCGAATGAAATGAAGATGGTTGAGGCACTGGCTCTGACTCTCTGACATAGCCCACTACATTCAGCCATGCCCCCACGCGCAATTCTTCGGCGGTCAGGTCCTCAAGGAGGGCATTGATGTCGACAGATACAGTTGGAGCTATCTTGCTGCGTGGATAGTTGTGTTCCAGTATCAAATGGCCGGTGGCGACGGTATAATGTGTCACACTGTGTGCACACAAGAATGTAGATCATCGTTAGTATTGGAAAGCCTCGAGATTATACTATTTTGTTCTCTGCTCTGGGCCTGACGCACCAGCCAAGAAAGCGGATCTTCGAGTCCGCCTGTAGAGATGAGAGGTCGGAGAGGAACACGCGAGTTGAGGGGCGCGGCCCATTCATCTCTGTGCTAGTTGAAGAAGACCCTCAACATTGTAAAAAGTTTGAAGATCGAAAGAAACGATAAAGGCGCAGATCGAAAAGTCGCAAACACAACGGTCTTGTTGGCGCACGTGACTGACCTTACCGTGTATGTCATAGGCTCAGCGAGGGGAAAGTCGGGCTCTCTCCCCTCCACTTTGCATTCATCCAGACATTATCCCTGGAAGCGCTTTCGACAAGTCGGGTGTTCCAAGTATACTGGTCATTCGGAGCTTATTTTTCATACGCCCCTCCCTGATTTCGCCTGTCAGCTCACTGACCTCGCCTGGAGCCTATCGCTCCACCTGACTTGCAGCAAAGAAAACAACCAATTTACTCTCCACTCCTCACCCCGGATTTTCGGCTGTTGCCTGGTCTCCCTTGGACATATTACCTGACCGGCTTATCCTGCTTATTTCCTCCGTTCGGTTTCTAGTTACACAGGCACCGACATCACTATGTGGTCTTGGTTTGGCGGGGCCGCCGCTCAGAAGCGGAAGGATGCGCCCAAGAACGCTATCCTCCAGCTGCGCGAGCAGCTGGATATGCTGCAAAAGCGCGAGAGACATCTCGAGACCCAGATCTCAGAGCAGGAGGCTATGGCGCGGAAAAACGTTAACACAGATAAGAATGGTATGGTTGCGAATCTTGCAGATTGTTGCTAGTTGAGAATTGCGGATGGTGGCTAACTATGTTCCTTACTGTGTTGAATAGCCGCTAAAAATGCCCTCCGACGGAAAAAGGTCCACGAGAAGAACCTCGAGCAGACAACAGCTCAGATAATGCAACTCGAGCAGCAAATATACTCCATCGAAGCCGCAAATATTAACCACGAGACCTTGGCTGCTATGAAGCAGGCCGGCGCGGCTATGAAGCAGATCCACGGTGGAATGAAGCTCGAGGATGTCGACAAGACTATGTACGTTGCTGCGGAGCTCACCGAATCTATACGATTGCCTCAGTCGAGGCTTTCGTTATATTGTGATCGCCATATACTGATACTTCACAGGGAGGAACTCCAAGACCAGCATGCGCTCAGCGCCGAAATCGGAAGCGTCATTACCAGTTTCCCTATCGGCGAACAGCCCGACGAGGGAGAGCTCGATGCCGAATTGGAGGATCTGGAGCAGGAGGCCATGGACGCGAAGATGCTCCATACCGGAACCGTACCGGCGGGCAGTCACCTGGACCGGTTACCGGCAGCGGGGAATACAGATCGTAAGCACAGAATCCTCGCAGACATCACATATATCACTAACTTGTCTATAGTCAAACACTCTGCCAAGGCAGAGGAAGACGACGAGGAAGCCGAGCTGGCCAAGTTGCGCGCGGAAATGGCCATGTGACGGCCTCTTACTTCCAGCCACGCGACCAATGCAGCCTCATTTTTGAAACCTTTCCCTTTTTCTCTTCACTGTCTTATCCTTGCATGCATGACCCGGCCGTTTTATCAAGCCATTTCCTCCCTTGGCTCTCCCCCCGCTGACTCTTTATTACCTCTTCCAAGGTTGTTCCTACCATCCCTCCATATGATCCGACCAGGTATTTCCGAGGTCTTACACTGATCTGTCTTTGTCACTTTTATCTGGCTGTTCCACTCCTCAACACCCTTTCTCAAGCTAACTCCATCGATCTCTTGGGTTCATGTTCATTGCTTTCTTTTTGAAATGGAGTTCTAGATGACTTCGGTTGTTTTATTTATTCGTGTAAGCTAAGCTATTAATTTTGAATTTTCAGCTTGGGTCATCCCTGGTTATACATAGAAACTCCTCGCCTTCGTATGTTGTCCATAGTCGAATCTGCTCTGTGCTATTATTCTTCCTATTGGCACTTCTATAGCCAATGATCCTCTATCCGAATATTCAAGTCTTGCGTTGTCAGGGATGGAGGCCGCATATAGGGCCGACTATTGTGCATTTATAACTTGAGTTGGGTCATTAGTATACTACGGCCAGAAGAGATGAAGATTATGTCTTTAGGGCTGTTTAGGGAGAGAGGGACATATCGGCCGGGCTACTATAGTGGTAAAGGCAATAACATGGCTAGACATAGAAAGCATAAGTTCTTGTAGAAAAAATATGGTTCATTATTATCTGAAAGTCCATCACTCGAAGCCAAATCCAAGTAGACCCAGCATTCGAAGACGAAAACGAAAAAGACCAGTCAATACATCATGAAGATAAGCATACACCTATCCAGTCATATGTTGAGAAAGCGAAAGCAGACCCAGAAACAGAAAAGAAAAAAAAAAAACTCCAGCGGCTTTCGCCTACCATGTCCAGCCCAGCCCATGCTAACCCATAATTTCGCCGACGCGCAAGAATCTCAAGGAAAAAGGAATCAACAGAATTTACGGGTACCAGGCGTAACTCTTGGTTGGCTGAGTACGCTCGCCGTCCTTGGTCTCGGTGGTCCACTTGGACTTCCATTCAACCTCCTTTGCCGCGGCGTCAATCAGAGCTTCCTTGCACTCGGGTGGAAGCAACTCGAGAATCTCTGGAGTCATGAACTCGGGATGTTCGGGGTTCGCGACACTGACCAAGCCGTTGGGGCCAATATCGTGCACATCACCGTCGGGGCCTGGGATGCCCATGTTTGAATATGGTGGGGATTCATAGACAATATCCTGGATGACATAGCGGTTGTGGAGATGAGCGGGGACAGGGGAAAATGTAGTGGCGGTGTGTTCGGCGGAGGTTTCGCCGGTGGCAGCTTCGTGCGCTTCTTTGGTTTCGTGGGAGGTCTGATTCTCGTCGGAAGGAGAGCCTCCATTGGAGAGGTTCAATGAGTTCATATTCGTCGCCAGCTCGGTCGGGGCGGATGCCGGAGCCGGGGGGACGCGCTCCCAGCGAGCGTGGGTTGGCTGCATAATCTTCGGGTGCTGCATGATATTAGTGTGGACATCGTACACACCACCCAGATTCGCACGGCGCATTTCGGTGAGCTTTGAGTTAAAGTTGCTATAATATGTATTAGTCAACAGGTCCCAATTAGTTACTCGCTATCAAATATAGACTCACCTTGCAGCACGGGCATGCTCGAGCATCCAGTTGTCATCGGTGACTGGCACGCGGCGTTTCTTGGTGTCGACTGGCTTTCCACCCGCAAGCGGGACTGCGGGCGCGTTTGTGTGGTAAACACTGCTTGCGCCGTGCCAGGCGACATACTGATTCCTGTTGTAAGTTTCTCCCGGTCCGGGCAATCGGTCTTCTGGAACGGCCAGCTCGCCCTCCACATCGCCGCGCTCGCGCGCAGCAGCTTCGTCATAGTCGTCGATAATCTTCTTGCCGCCAACGATGATCTTTGCGCCGAACTCACGGAACACCGATCGCGCGGTGACAACACCAATGGCTCGTCCCTTGTAAGAGTGTGGGATGAGATCGCGCTCAATCAAATCACGCTTGGCGTCATCATCAATGATGATCTTGTACAGCATCTTATGCTTCTGGAAGAACAGGTAAGAGTCACGGAAGCCAATACAGCGGGCCGGTTCAGTCGACAACATGTAGAGGCGGTCTCCGCGACCAAGAATCTTGAAGGTACGGACTCGATACTCACGTCCACCTTGCAGGTGGCCATTCTCGTCGACTTTTGTAGCGCCGATTGGGTCGGGTGGAATCGACACTTCGTCGTTGATTACATCCATCATGTTTCCTTCCTTGTCGACAGGCACTTGGGTGAGATGGGAGGGGCCACGGTTGCGTGCCCAACGTCCACCACTAGCAGCAGGTCGACCGCGACGTCTTTTGACTGGAGTAGTGACTCGAAGTGGTGGATCGCCGTCAGCCGGATTCCATTCAGGTCGAGGGTGCTTGGGTGGGCGACCAATGCGACGCTTGCCGCGAGGCGGAAGCGATGGGCGACCCGGTCCGTAAGAAGGTGTGTTGTCTGTGTCGGGAAGAATTGAGTCTTCTGCGGGGGTTGCAACACTCAATTCGCCCTCTGGTTTGGGTGTGGCAGGTGTTTCGGAAGCCTGAACTTCTGCACTTTCGGCTTTAGGTTCAGGTTTAGATTCAGGTTCAGGTTCGGGTTCGGGTTCACGTTCAGATTCAGGTTCACGTGCAGCTTCAAGTTCAGGTTCAGCGTCGAGTTCGACGTTGGGATCTTTTTGGTCTTCTGGTTCGGCTACTGGCGAGGAAGGGTGAGAGGAAAGGACGTCGAGCATTTCCTCATCAGACCCATCTGGAACTGAAGGTACATTTTCTAAATTGAGTTAGTCGCAAACGCGTCTAAGGCGAGGATGAAATTCAATGCATAGTAGAAGGGACGGGTGTTTATAGCAGGTGCGTGGCAATGCTAAATCTTGGGATCAACTAACTTATCGACTGTGCAGCCGCCTGAGCGGCCGCCCTTAGCTTTCGTGGCATATTGTCGATAGTTGAACGATATGCCGGGGAAGCGCAAATGGGGAGGAATAGCTGTTTTGCGAAGGACCGAAGTTTTTCCGGGCGCACCTCATAGGCTGCAAACTCTGCAAACAATCAAATAGTGCAAACAAGGCAAACACCTTCACTGCTGCTGACTCTGGAGGGATCCATCCCAGGTAGGCACGGGCATATTCATCTCCAATCATTTCGTTAGAAGCCGCCAAGCACTTGACCCGCATTCTCCACACGTTCTCCAACATGGCCACCATACGACCCGATACCTTCACGGGCACTAAAGAGGATCTCGCCGGCCGCGAATTCTTGACTCACTGTCCGCCGGATTTACCACCTCGCCATCGAATTGTGGCTCTTTTAGGCACGACAGATCTCAATGATGCATGCCAGCCAAGTGAAGACGGATGGTTTGTATCGGATTTTTACCTTTTTCATTATCTGCTTGCACCGCGCTTCCCACGTCGTAAGTATTTCATCGTCTTGCTTGCCACGTACCATCTACCTACTAACAGAATGAGCTTACTAGCACCGAACCAATTTTGGTTAACTTGCGAGGATCCTAGTATCCTCATTCAAAAGTATGGTGAATATCTTCATGGCGACTCAACTGGTGATCGCCGCATTGTCCTCGACGCTCAGCTGCTTCCTGATATCTTGGCCGCTGGTAATTTGCGTGTTGTTTCACAAGAGGCTCTACTTGAGCGGTATCTGAATACAGTTCGCGAGCAAGCCATTGAAGCCGACCGCCTTGAAGAACACTTGGTGCTGCTAATATTTGGACATGGTTCATTGGATCATCACGTTTTAGTAGGAAAAAACTTCCTGGAAATGAAGGATATACAACGCATACTCCGAGGAAAGTCTCTTGTCACCACTTTTTCTACATCGTGCTACTCGGGGGGATGGCTTGTTAAGCCAGACATCAGACAACAACAGTTGAATGTGACTGGTGTTACCGCAGCAGGGCAAGACACAGAATCTTCTTCATGGCCCCTGAGTGGAAGTGTAGGGCGTGCTAGCGGCAGCTTAGCAACATCCGCAGTTGTACAATGCCTCATTGAGGCGCAGACTGATGAAGCCCAAACAGGCACTGAGAATCCATTGGACATTGGGGAAATAATGGCTCACCCGACGTACATCCAGCTGGCAAAGTCTGCATATGACTGTGTCAAGAATATGGGGATGCTTGGAGACTGCCAAGCACTCTTTTTTTCGGCTGAGAATGATGAGTGGGAGTTGAGCTACCAGCCCCGGCTTGGACTCCCATTATTGAGCTACAAGCAAAAGTGGGAAGCTCTTCGATATGCGCCGCCATCATCTACCCCCGCTCCAACGAACCAAGGATTACCCGGCGGAGACAGACGCCCTCTTAAGCGTTTGCAGTACCTTGCTGAAGAGTACTTTGCAGCGCAACCGGGTCCGGACAACTCCGGTCAAAATGTTGCGCTACATTCCTGTCTCCAACGAGCTCTAAAGAGTGAAAGCTTCACAAAGGAAAAGCTACACGACCTTACAGAAAACACGGCCTATCGACTAGGAGCGATGTATGAAGCTGATTACCTTAGGCAACAGGCAAAATTTGACTACCCATCAATCTTTGAGATTGATCCGAACACCATCCTGGCACGCAAAGGATCCATCGACTACCAGCTAAGGAGTAAGACATGGGACATGCTTCTCGCTCAAAATATAAATACGACTCCAATTGGCATCAAGTTACAGTGGGGGAAACCCACACAATACCTCCTGCTCGCGTTAATTGAAACATCGGGATCCTGGGAAACCATTGAAAGCCACATCAACGTGATGGCTGCGATGAAGAAGACCTGGTGCCGATTCATCTTCCATGCTTGGCAAGGCCATCGAGTCTCTCACGACGACCGTGTGATCAAGACACACCGCGCATTCATAGAAGCTTTGAAGAAGGTCGGGGAATAGCCAGTTTTATTTCTAGTGTTCATTCATACTGTGGATGGATTTGCTGTGTTCCGGTTAGTTTTTTTAGTGATTTTTATGCTCTCGATGGCGGGCAACCTGTGCAGGGATTGGATTATTAACTGGTGGGCATATCTTCTATGACGTCATATGTTCTTCCTATGTTGTACTCCAACGGAGCATTTCGGGCTACACATCTGCCTGGCCGTTGATCGGCGACCATCTTGCTTCTGTTTTCGATATTCATTCTTTTTTAATTCTAGACCTTTAATCGCCATTGCCGTTTTAAAATCATAAAATATTGATATCATTGGTTGCCTGCCTAGGACAGCATCTCGGGCCTTTGTGTTACCCCCCAGTTGGCCGGTATGAGTGCGGGGATGCAATGTTCAATATGAGTCCATCTATGGGATCTGCATGTTGACAAAACCCCATAAAATACTCACCGGTCTTTATTGCACCGTTCTCTCCCGAATCACATTTATTGTCAATTGCATCCATCCAACACAGAAAATAACTACATCGAAGCGCATAGGTTAATTGCTTGTGTAACCACTGACCTCATTTTCTACCTCTATGTGCAGTCTCCAATATCACATGCGAGAGATAGCTCCTGAGTTGAACCCCAAGGAGGCTTGTGCGAACCATATCCTAGGTCAGTAGCAAAGTCGGGACCAAGCAGCATGTTTCAATCGCGGGAGCAAGTCGCCGCATAGACCAGGTTGTCCATGAAGAACATTTGGATTGGCTGTAGCAGTATTTTCCCAGCAAGAGTTCTACTCTAATAGTAGATTAAAAGTCATATCTCTTTTCTCCAATGGAAACCCAAATAATCAAAATATAAGAATGCGGAAATATACTTGTTCTGATGCAGTATAATTTCTGCTGATAACGAGCTTGAGATAGAAGAGTAGAACGTGCTTACTTTGGAGTACAAGCCCGCAGATCATATCCCAGCGCAGATGACCTACAAATTCAATCCGAACTCGGACTCGGTCTTGTGCATAACGGAATATGCACATTGAAATCATGCAGCTTGTGGCTGTACACTGTATACTTCAAAAGGGTCGAGATTCGTAATATTCGAGTATGAACCGCACGAACCGATAAGAAATGCAAATTATTACGTTTAATCAGGAAAGTCCAGGGTATGAAGAGATCCGATCTCATCTTTGAAACAATATTCTGGATCTTTACTTCCATAGCATATTATTCGTCATATCTCTAGAGGTTGAGGAAGCTGCCGATCTCTTTCCCCCCCCCACCTATTTGAGGGCGTGGAAGCTGAGGGGCAGAGATCGGCAATAGCTCTCTAGCGTCACTTTCCCTATTGTATAGTTGCAGCAATCTCATTTCTGTGGCACGTACAGAGTACATCATTCACATACCCGGGTCTTAAATCCGCCGAACCACATGTTAACGCAGAGGGACCTCACGGCGCGCCCCGATGACGCATGTGGAGGGCCTTAACCCATGCGACCACAGCATATCTCACATTTCACCTATGCAGATGCAAGGGGAGCTGAGAAGACCTAGACCATATTGAGAGCTGAAAGGGCTGTATCTTGCGATCGAGACTCGATCTATGAAGTATGGGGTTTCACAATTTATTAAGGATTTTGCCTTGGGTTATATAGAGACAAAGTACAGGTAAATGTATAGGTACTAGGTGGAAACTATCCGAATATAAGAAATTAACGAGAAGTGGAGATAGAGATTCGCGCGATAAGAGAGAAAAATAGCCAAAGAAGAAAAGCGCGCATGCAGGCTCTCCTCAGCCTCTTTTGTATAGCCACATGCTGGGGCCTAATGTCATTCGGACTACTCCGTGACTTGAGAATGCAATAATCTTGTTTTCTGAAGAATTTACAACATAGAAGGGGAAATATGGGACAGGAAGAGGAAGTCGATCCCGGGCTATTCTCTTGATAGTAGGATTATTGAACATTATATTGTTCTCCACATGACGTCTTTTCTTTTCTTTTTCTTTTTGATTTCTAATTTCTAATTTCTGTAATAATCTTATTTTTAGGAATAAGTAGATGACTCGGGATTGGAGATACAAGAATGCATTAATGTCCTTTTTTTTAGCCTTAGAATTTCCTTATGGTCAGCTTCAGTCAGCTATAAGATTATATCTTATATCTTATGTATAATCCAGCCTCTTAAACATGGATCATTAAACCCTTTGGGTTTATTTTTAACCCTCATTGAAAGAGAATAAAAAAAAAACTCCATTTTCCTTGTTGGGCCAAATCCGAACGGGTTCAAATCCATCCCGCAAACTCCCTTAGCTCATCAAAAAATCCTCTTTTTTTTCCTCCCTGGAATTTTAAACCCCCCCACTCTCGTTCTCCTCCCTCCATCTTTCGACTTTATTGAATGGAAACACAATGGCTGCGCAAAGTGGACCCGTATTGCACGGCGACGACATGAAGACAAAGTGAGTATATTTCTTTTCCTTCATAAAGGCGGGGTTGAAGGAATAAAAAAAAAAGAGGGTCCACGATCCCCTCACACCGCATTGCATTACAGTCTGTTCTTATGAACCTGCATGAAACACGTTTCGAGAATGCCTTTCTTTCAATTTCGGACTTTGCCGGAATTTGCCTACAATCTTTGAATTGGTTTATCGGAGTTTAGGTTAACCATCTTCCCATCTTAATAGCTCCGGACTGGAAGACGATACCCAAGATCAGATCAGGTCAAATGATTCTACACCTACGCCAACTGGAATCGCAACACCAGAACCTGATCTAGCCGACAAGCGTCTACCTTCAATTATGCACAACTACTTCCAGGTTGGTTCTTTCTCCGGTGATAAAGCGAGTCTGCCACGGTTATGGTCATGTCTGTCGAAACCCTCTGAGGATTCTCAATCAAATGCGCATACCCAACATTCCTCCGATTCTTCCGAGTCTTTTGTCATGATGGAGCAGGAAGATGGGTCTGATAAGATGGAGGATGAACATCCCAGTCTACCCACCCCTCCACACTCCTTATTGCAGCACGAGTCGGATGAGATGGAACTCGGGACGAGTCCAGGAGTGTCCTCTATCTTTACAACCCTGAAGAATTACCTCATTTCTCCCACACAAACTCCTCCAGGAGATCCTCCTTCCCGCCGTCAAACCTCCCTCCCAGTATCCAGCGTTTCTGACGACCCCGTTCTTGCCACACATTTCTCCAATCCATCCCTCCATCCTGTCTCAGATACCTTTTCCCTGACTGAAGCTCCCCTCCTCGACCATGAGAAACCGCATGTCTCAGTATCTTCCGAGAACCTAGCCAAGCTAACTGAAAACGCGCCCGATGGGCTGCGTCTTAAGAATACCCCACCTCTTACTCCCCGGGCCATGTCCAACGAGGCCCCAGCCGCCCAGGAGAAGGTCGCCACTGCGGTTCCGCAGGAGAACTCCAAAGAAACACAGTCTGAGTCAAAGCCGGAAGACATCGAAAACTCCACGGACGAAATCACCATGAAACTCGATGAAGCATTCCCATCCCAATCCCAGTCCCAGCCTGAGACTGTGCCTGCGCCTGAGAATGCGGCTGCAACATCATCCCCGGCTAACGGCGCGCCCACAGGCCCGATCAATGGCAAATTGTTTGTGAAGATCACGGATGGTCGGGGACTGCGACCAAGTTTCGATCCGTACGTGGTGTGTGTATTCGAATGGAATGAGTACATCTCCAAGGGTGCTCGTGACGGCGAGGAGGAAAAGAAACGGCGCCAGCTGGAGTCAGATGCCGAGGAGGCTGCTGGTCGCCCTATGGCCATTCCTTTGAAGTCCCGATCCAGCTCTCACAACAGTGCTGTTGAGGGTGATCACAAGGGGCGGTCCCCCGTGACAGACCCGCACTGGAATCACGAGGCCACCTTGTATGTTACCCCAATCCAGCTACTTGACTTGTATAACCCACTAACACGTTCTGTTAAGTGATGTTATGGGAGATCAGTCGGAACTTGATGTCACAGTATATGACCGCAACAATCAGGAAGCTTTCTTGGGTCACGTACGCCTCTGCATCAACCTCAAGGAAGATCACAGCCGACTAGAAGGCTGGTTCCCCTTGGTCGCCCGCGGTGCCGGTGACAACCAAGTTTCTGGAGAAATTCACCTCGATATGAAGTTCGAAAAGACAGATCGAAAGCAGGTCGGACCGAATGATTTCCTCGTTCTCAAACTTATCGGCAAAGGAACCTTCGGCCAGGTCTATCAGGTCAAGAAGAAGGACACACAGCGTATCTATGCGATGAAGGTTCTCTCGAAGAAGGTCATCATTCAGAAGAAGGAGGTGATTCACACGCTCGGAGAGCGCAATATCTTAGTACGCACCGCGATGACGGCGTCTCCGTTTATTGTGGGATTGAAGTTCTCCTTCCAAACCCCCACGGATCTATACCTCGTTACGGATTACATGTCGGGAGGTGAACTGTTCTGGCACTTGCAGCGTGAGGGTCGGTTCCAGGAGGCCCGGGCGAAGTTCTATATTGCTGAGTTGATTCTGGCTCTGCAACATCTGCACGATCACGACATCGTATATCGGGATCTCAAACCGGAGAACATCCTGCTAGATGCCAACGGCCACATTGCGCTCTGCGATTTCGGTCTATCCAAGGCAAACCTATCACAAAATGATACCACCAATACCTTCTGTGGTACCACCGAATATCTGGCACCGGAAGTATTGCTCGATGAGCAAGGATATACAAAGATGGTCGACTTCTGGTCCCTGGGTGTCTTGGTATTTGAGATGTGCTGTGGCTGGAGTCCGTTCTATGCCGAGGACACTCAGCAGATGTACAAGAATATCGCATTTGGCAAAGTCCGATTCCCCCGTGATGCGCTTAGCACTGAGGGAAGAAACTTCGTCAAGGGTCTGCTCAACCGGAATCCCAAGCATCGACTGGGCGCCAATGGCGATGCCAAGGAACTCATGGCACACCCATTCTTCCACGACATCAACTGGGAGACACTGGCCCGCAAGCAAGTGATTCCTCCTTTCAAGCCGCAGCTGCAGTCTGAAACTGATACATCGAACTTCGATCCCGAATTCACAAACGCTATGGACCTGAACAATTCGCTCAATCTCCGCGCCGCAAACCTCGCCAACGGCCTCATGCCGGCCTCCACACCCTTGTCCCCCGGGATGCAAGCCAATTTCAAGGGCTTCACCTTTGTGAATGAGAGCTCCATCGACCACCACCTTATGGACGACAGCGATCATATGGAAGAAGATCCCATGCATGATGACCACTGGCAACGAGGCCACCGGTCGGGCCACTCGGGTGACCAGCGCATGGCAGGCGTCCAGAAGACGCAGGACGGCACGGAACCCGGGATTTTCAACGTTGATGATACCTTTGACATGTGATTACGTTTTCTTTTTTCTCTTACTGCATGATCATGGAGTCTCGATCTGGCATACATTATTGTTTCTTGTCTTGTCTTGTACATGCCTTCGGATGCATCACCTCCAACCCGCAAATATGGGTTTCCATTTTCATTTCCATTTGCCTTCGCCTTGTTTTCTGATTCCCGCTTCCTTACTCATGATGGTGTTTCTGCGAACTTTGCCCCCACTTCCTTTCCTTTATCATTTCGGTCTGTTTCCTGTTCTGTCGAATGCCGAGTTGAGATGGTGATTATCCTGTGATCGTGGTCCTGGCACCAATATTGAGCCTCGCTACTCGTCATAGTTACAACACTCTCGTTCGTTCCGTCAGCCAGTTCCCAGTCACATACCCCCTCCCCCCGGGGCTCGGTCAGTTTCTTCATGTTCTGTTTCAGATGGAACCCCGGGGGATCCTTGCGTGTTTAGTGGAGTTGGGTTTGGGTAATTTTCATGGTGCACCTTTGTTGTCAGTCATCATGTTCTGGGGCGGTTGGTCAAAGCGAGATCCCTTTGTCTTTGTCTTCTATCCTGTCTCCGGTGCAGTGTTGATAACTTTACTCTCTATCCTCTGTGATCGATGTCCTGAATTTTGATACCTGCTCTTCTCTCTTGGGTCTTTTCCCCCTCTCTTCTCTCCTGCTTATATTTGTTTTCTCTCTTGGAGTTCCCGGTTCCAACACGGTACGGTGGTAATTTGAGGAATTTTCCTCACGGCTTTTCTTTTTTCGCATATCAAGGTTTGATTGAAGCTACCCAGATTTGAGAGCGACGGAGTCGTAGCAGAAGGTTTCATTCTAGTTCCATTTTCATGGCGTTAAGACTGGCATCGGCATCTCATGGGCTCGACCTGCATTGCATCGGGAGGATATGCTGTTCTAGTCGAATATCAGACACTTCCATTCAATTCATCCATTATTGCGGTGGAATTATATGCTACTTCCGACGATCTACTAGCAATGTTCCCGTGCTCCGTAGCATGTCACTTACCTCTTGTGTGCCTTTGGTCCAATGCTTTGTATCTCATATAGGTGCATTGGATGGAGGTGTATACGAGGCCTATCAACCTATAATGACACTGAATTCGGATCGCGATTACACCTTTCGTATCCCAGCCGTTCTCTTCTGTTCCTTGCAATCTATCTTGGTAAATCATGTTAGGTGGGGGCTTCTAAAGGAATACTATGTATTTCTTCGACCCGCTCCTTCTCCTTCTACATCTGTCACTTCCAATTCAGACCTACGGAAGGCGCAACCCAGGAACTTATCATAAGACACCCTAAGTATGGCAATATCGCTAGAATATCATGCTCAAAAGCCTAAATATTATCTATACACTTCATTTGTGCCATATACAAGTAACTAGCTAAATGCGTCCAATCATGCTTTAAATACATCACTCATTAATAACTTCGAGGAATGCCCACCGAGAAAACCTCAATCTCGAGCAAACCTAGCACGAAGCCTAGCTCCAAAAACATAGAAACAGTACGGAATCAGAATCATAGCAAGCGCAATAAACGCCAACAACCACGAAGCCCACTGCAACCCCAAACGATTATACATCTGAGTCGTAAACAAAGGAAAAGCAGCTCCACCCCCGGAACGCAGGAACACCTTCGCAGCCAATGCAGAAGCAGCATACTTATGATTCGAATCGATGATATAGTTATTGACCGCATAGTAGCAAAGTACCATACCAAACCCAAACGCAATACCCGACGAAGCCGGCCCAACCCAGATGATATGTTTATAAGAAGTAGCACCGAGGATGAAAAGCGAAATAGCTATAAACGGAGCCCCGATGAGGGCACCGATGAGCCGGTCCTCGGGCGTGGGTTCCCGTGAACGACAAATGCCCCGGAATTGCTTCTCAATCAAAGGCGTCGTGAGTAGGGAGAACCCTGCGCCGATTAAGATCGGGATGAACATCAGACCGATCTGGCCGTCGTTGTAGTTGTAGAGTTTGCCGAAGATGACGGGGTATGCGAAGAAAAATGCATAGAGGAGGGCGTAGATGAGGACGATGTACATGCACATCAGATCAAGGACTGGGTCTGTGAGGATCATGGTAATTGGGCGGATTAGACTTGTACGGATAATATCGCCTAGACTGAATTTGTGTTTCTCTTGCTCTGTGACGATATTCGGGTCTCCTGTCTCTTTTCGGAGTCGTTTCGCGCGTCGTTTGAGAATAACCGGGGCGTAGGTCTCTGGGATGATACCGACGAGAATTGTCATAACACCGGAAAAAGCCATGTTAACCCAGAAAAAGAGGTCGAGACGGTGGGAGCCGACATTGATCCATCCGCATACGATAGGTCCCAGAACGGGACCGCAATATGGCGCTGCGGCGAAATAGGCAATGGCCATACCGCGTTCTCTGATTCTCCAGATATCGGCAATTGTTCCACCGGCTAGCGCAAGTCCAGAGCTGGAGAACACACCGCAGAGAAATCTGCTAGCTAGGAGTCCTCCTATGTTGGGAGATAAGGCGCAGGGAATGTTGAAGATGGTGTATAGACCCATTGAGATGATATAAACTGGTTGTCGACCGATGATTTCTGATAGCGGGGACCAAAGTAATGGTCCGACTGCGAATCCACAGACCATAATCGAGCAAGTGAGAATGGACACCTCTTCAGAGACGTCGTACTTTTCCGAAATTAGGCCTATGCCACCGGTGACAATTGATGAACCAAAGGCTATACAGACGACGAGACTTGATGCTACCATGGTGATATACCATCTATACAGATGAGACCAATTATATGGGTTTTCAGGATCCCCAATGACGAATGTGACAAACTCCGTGTTCTCCTCTTTCTCGGCCTCACTTGGAACTGTGGAAATAGACTGTGGCTGGGGTGCGGTCGACCTTCGTCGTCGGGTCCGGACTTGTTCCAATGTTCGCTCGGGAACGAGACCAGTGCCCGTCTCGATGTTGTACTCTTCGGGGAAAAGAGGATCATCGTAACGTCCAAGATCTGGATAGTTGTAGTCGACTGGAGGTGGGCTTTCGGAGATACCCAGACTGGCGAGGGTCTCGACGGTTTCCGTGCGAGATAAACGGCGCCCATTGCCGGCCTCTTCGAAGTAGTCTCTTGACAAAGACATAGCTGTATAGACTGTATAGATGCAATGTACAATGGAATTGAGTTATAGGGGAACTGTAGCGTTCGTTAAATAAGAATAGCCTAACATCGTAGTGATGATGCAACGACTCTATACCTGAGCCGGAAATGTACGGGATATATCCCGAGTAAGATCCGAGTACCATCTAGAATCTAATCGCAGAACTAAATCCTCCAAGTTATTTACTGAAATAAAGTATTATGTGGGAAGTTCTGGCCTGGCCTATTCATAGCGGTAGGGCTGGGGACCGGTACTACTTTATATATAAAATGCAACTTACTCCACAATCACTATTTACTATGTCATCGTTTCTTATAGGAAAAAAATATGATTATATATTCTGCGTGTACTGAATATCGCCAATCTTACTGTCTTTGTCAAGACTATTTCCGATTCTGGATATATTTAGGATCGATGCGTTGTTGAATGCTAGTCAATTATACGTGAGGCGTGGAAAATAGGGCTTTCCGCTCAGCCGCACTTAAGCCACACGCTGGTGGTACATACCGCACCAGGCAAGTGAACATTCAAGGACATCTGGATCCCACTCTTCTATGCAGGTTATCTTCCATGTCTTTATCAAGGTCAAAAGTGCTCTCCAATTTCCGCCCTGCCATATAGTTCACACCTGGCCTGTCTAGGGTCCAAATATATTTTTGCAATCGGATCTGTTTATTTTCAAAACTCAAGTGGTTTTGTTTTTTGTTTTTTTTTGTTATAGGCGAGGATGGATCTTTCTAGAGAGTTCTGTTGTAGTATGGTGATGGCGTGGTTCCCATTTTTAATGCAGGTACGTGGACATGTGGACCTTCTACATGGAATTTTAGTCCTAAGAACGCCCCCAGAACGGCAGTTTCAAGCCCTAGTCGTCAGCCATAACAAGATCCAATGGCGCAATTGGCCGCAGTATTAAGAAGACCCTCAGTGCGTCTCCACTCGATCGCAGTTTTAGCTGTGATTCTCTTCTAAAGTGGATTGAGAGTTTGTGTTAGATATATATTGCATGTCAAGGGGAATCATGTGGACGGAGTTCTCAATACTACATTGGTTATTTTTGTAGCCTGCCGATCTTACTGGATTGATCTAGGTGAGCCCTGGAGGGATTTTTAGTCCGAGTTATGGATGTTTTTTAAGTTTATTGAATATTAAATAGTACAGTTTGGACTATCTAATATTATAGTTTACTATATTGAGAAGGTATGTTGTATATCAATGATGTGATGCCAATAATCTGGAGTAATACGGAGTACAAAGTCAAATGTAAGAAAGGCGTTCCTCCAGGGCTGAGCCGTTCAATTGCCTAATCCATTGTCGTGCAGGAGAATATGCGCATGGGCCGTTTAGATATAAAAAGGGGATATTACTATGTCTATGTATGTCTATGTATACTATAAAGTGAAACACCGTATTCCGTATGTTGTAGATATAAATACATATATAAAGTACTTCGTATATATATAAAAATAAAAACAAAAAAAAAAAAGGGGTAAAAACAACGTTAAACCTAAAAGGGAAGAACCCTTGACACTTGCTTCTTGATCTTATACATTCCATTTTATTATTATATAGGGATATGAAGATTCTATGGAATCTGTATTTGGTTATTTGTATACCATAAACTACATAGTAATATACCACTGAAAACTCCCTTGAATATAAAAGAGAAAAAACCCCCCTGAACCCGCCCCTTCCCGTCTCCGCTCAACCTGCACGGCTTACAGAAAAAAAGGTCCACGACGTTCAAATCATTCCTGATGTGGGGGAGATCGACTGCCATTCGTTTTTCTTTTTTTCTCCCTTTTCCAACGTGCTAGTTCGATTCCTGATGTCCTTACTTTGTATTCTTACCTTCTTACCCTTTTCTCTCTCTCTCTTCATCTTTGACTCCCCTATGTGAATGATAACTGGGGAACCTGCCGATCATATCTATTTTTCCGAACTCCCTACATTCCCGAAACCCCTCCTCCCTATTGGGAATTGTGTTTTGCTTTTTCTTGTTGTTCCGATGCTAAAGCAAATTCACAATGAGTGTTGTCGCCACTAGAACGGAGACCCCTGTGGTATCACACATCCCTGAGCATGTTAACTACGCTCATTCACATACTTCTCGAACATCCTCGATATCTTCCTACAGAACCAATTATAGCGCCTCAACCGTGCCCACCACATACCCACCATCTTCCCCATCTTCATCTTATCGTCAATCCGATTCTGTCAATTCTCTTCCCAAATTAACTGAACCAATACAACGCCGACTACCACACGAGGTCTACGAAGTGATAATCCACCATCTAGAGGAGTTACACAAAGGGCAACACCAAACGGGATGTACCACGTGTTTTCAACGAGACTTACATGCCTTATCCCTGACCTGTCGGTCTTGGGAAAAGGCCGTAAGAGGTCCTTTGTGAGTTTAAATATAGCTTCCCCTGGATTAATTCAAGAACTTTGCTAATTGAATATGCCATACTAGATATCACAGTATACACATTGTCGGGAATGATTCCCCGGCCCAACTCAAGAAATATCGTCTGAAGAGAGGGAGTCGCCTGAAGCTTCTGAGACGAACCCTTCGTGAACGAAAGTTGCTGGCCAACCTCGTATACGAACTACGGGTACCCCAGTTAGATTTGCTCTTTACCATGAAACAAGGCACCCAGTGGCAGGAGTATAGAGATCTGGTAGCGTCTGTGGTTATGGTGTGCCCAAACTTGGAGCGCCTGTTGGGCTTGTCTATCCCGTATCACCATGAATTCGATCGCCTGACCCATGCTTTATCGACCCGCAAGAAGCTCAAAGAGCACACATGGGTTTTGGGTGAGGCCGCCGAACCATCGGAGCCATCCCCGCGCGACGACTCCTGTCCTGGGAGCCTTGGTCCTTCCCAGATGTTCGAGTTTCTGAATTACCACACCTCGTGGACAAATCTGGAGACACTAATGCTTTATGGATTGAATGGAAATGGCGCACTGGAGCCTAGCATCTCACTGCGCATGTTCAATCTTCTTCCCTCATTGCGCAACCTTTGCATTACCTCCTTTAACAAAGACTCCTTCGATAATAGCACGTTGATGTGTCTGCCACCCTTGGAGTCATTAAGGTTGGAGAACCTGTCCGGGGTTACAGATGCTGGCCTCTCCCAATATACCTCACGACCTGAATCCCGCTCCCTCAAGACACTCGTCTTGGTCGAGCAGAATATCGAGTCACTACTAGTCATTTCCAAGATGCTCGCGTCACTACGACAACTTGAACGGTTCAAGATAGTCCAGACCGAAAAGTGCCCAACTTTGCCAGATGAACATATGATCTTCCAGCCTGTCCTGGCCTCATCAACTCTTAAATATCTCCACTGGGATGTAGCATGCCCAGACCCAGGCACAGCTCTCACCCAGCTTGATACCCTTCCCTTCCAGAAATCCAAAAAGCCCTCCAATACCCCGAACTCCCATCTTGCCCAAAGCATCCTCTCCGCTGGTTTCCCCCAATTGGAAACCCTCCGCGCACCCTGCGACGTGGAGCCCCCAGGTGCGCTCCAGGCTGTCTGCCGACCTATACTAAAGGGCCAGGCCTTACTTCGACCAGACCGGTACAGCTTGCCTCGCAGCTCCCACGGTTCCGTGAATACTCGACCGCTCGCTCTGCCAGCGGGGAATAACCTGACCTCAGCTCGTATCCGCGCCCAGACGTTTATTGACATGGCCGCCAAGGACACCGAGGCCGGCATGCGAGTTTTGATCCAAGATTACTCGGACGCGTATGTGCCGGACAATGCGCAGAATTCCCAATTCGAGGACGAGCCCGAACAGGAAATGGACGACTACGGAATCTGGGCTGCCTGCGAGCGGTTCAAACACGAGGACAATGACCATAGCGGTCCCAAAACGGTCCACGAGTTCCGCATGCCGACCATGATGGGCCGTAGTGGTTGCCGGGATCCGGTGACGGGCGCATCTATTCCTCACTTCCTCCTCCGTCCTGATATCACCGGCCAGGAATTGGACGGTGGCTTGATTGGGTGGAAGCAACTGCTAGCCTCCAACCAGTCACTGTCATATGCCGCCGGAGTGGGCGTCAACTGCTTTGGCAGCGGAAGCCCTTCTATCCCACCTCCAGAGGAGCCCATGTCGCCTGCATCCACCATTTCTAGGTTCGGCTGGGGAAGCTTGAGTGGGCGGTCTGTCATGGGTACGTCTCCACCCACACCCACAACACCACTCACGCCTATAAGTAGTGCGATGGGCTCGGCCTTGCCTTGGGAGAAGGATACCTGTACTGGAACCTGGAACCACAAAGCAGGCCGGGACTGGTGGTTCCATATGGAGCGTGATCGTCCGGGCAACTCGGAGCTCATCGACGTTAAACAACTTTTCTAACCCCATTCTTTTTACTCTACGATCCCTTTTCTCCTATTTCTTGTCTACATACCCTGCCATATACCCCACACCTGTTGTATTCTCTTTTCTTATCTCTTTTTCTATTTCGAGCATCCGGTTTGCTGTTCTTATCACATTGACAGGGTTCATTATGCATGCGCTGCTATGTCAGACGGATCTGGCGCATAATGATTCGATGTGCTTTGACTCTTGGTCATTCGAACTATCTTTTGTTGTTTCATTATTGGAGCGTCGGTGGAAGGTTAATGTGTAGTGCTTCTTTCTGTCTGTTTTGAGTCTGCGTACTCTCTGTATCATATTTGTACAGCATTGCTACATAGTAATAATTGAACAGCATATGAAATAACTCATTCATTATTTCTATGAAAGATAGCCCTACAGCCCTACGTTGTATAGCAAGTTATGTAGTCGGCGCCATGGCGGTATCTCTCGGCAGTATAGAAGATGACTCATCCCGGGCTAAATCGGACCGATAAGCGAATGTCAACTGATAAGCATTGAATACAAGAGCCCCTCGTTGAGAAAAAAATATCCCCCACCTTCGCTTTCACAATCGTCATCCGTCGCAATGGACCCCGCAAAGCCCGTCGATCTGCCCGAGAGGCCAAAGGAGGCCATCGACCCTACGGCTCCCCCCAAGAAGTCCAAGAGTCAAGAGAAGAAAGAGGCCGCAGCAGCCAAGAAGGCGGCGGCCAAGCTAGCAAAACAGGACCAGCCTAAACCAAAGGGAGAGCCAAAGGCACCCAAGGTGAAGGAGGCTCCTGCGCCCCGGGACCCCAATGCCATGTTTAAGGTCGGCTTCCTGCACGACGTGTACCAGGAAAAGCCGCTCTCCGAGACTGTCCCCAAGATTCGCACGCGATTCCCGCCCGAGCCCAACGGATACCTCCACATCGGCCACAGCAAGGCCATCGCAATCAACTTTGGATTTGCGAAGTACCACGGTGGCGAGTGTATTCTGCGCTTCGACGACACCAACCCAGAAGGCGAGGAGGAGCGGTACTACAATGCCATCCGGGAGATTGTGACATGGCTCGGCTTCACACCTGTGCGTGAGACCAACGCCAGTGATAACTTCGACCGCCTCTACGAGCTCGCAGAGGACCTCATCCAGCGCGATGGCGCATACGTCTGCCATTGCACCAAGTCCGAGATCAAGGCCCAGCGCGGTGAGGTCGAGGGCGGCCAGCGCGGTGGAGAACGCTTCTCGTGCAGCCACCGCACACGACCCATCGAGGAGTCCATGGCCGAGTTCCGCGCCATGCGCGACGGAAAATACAAGGCTGGTGAGGCCGCGCTGCGCATGAAGCAGGATATTACAGACCCGAACCCGCAGATGTGGGATTTGTTCGCCTGGCGCATTATGGGCTCTGAGGACAAGCAGCATCACCTCACCGGCGGCAAGTGGAAGATCTACCCAACCTACGACTTCGCGCACTGTTTGTGTGATAGTATCGAGGAAATCTCGCACTCGCTCTGCACAACCGAATTCGAACTCTCCCGCGTCTCGTACGAGTGGCTCTGCAATAAGCTGGAGGTCTACTGCCCCAACCAGCGTGAGTACGGCCGTCTCAACATCACCGGCACAGTTCTCTCCAAGCGTAAGATCATCCAGCTCGTCAAGGAAGGCCACGTCCGCGACTGGGATGACCCACGTCTGTACACGCTCATCGCGCTACGCCGTCGCGGCGTGCCCCCCGGCGCGATCCTCGCCTTCGTCAACGACCTCGGCGTAACAAAGAATACCACCAACGTCCAGGTCGCCAAATTCGAGCAGATCGTCCGCCAGTACCTTGAAACCACCGTCCCCCGTCTGATGGTCGTCCTCGAGCCACTGAAGGTCATCATCGACGACCTCCCCGACGACTACGTCGAGCTCCTCGACTGCCCCTTCTCCAAAGACCCAATCTTCGGCACCCACAACATCCCCTTCACGAAGACAGTCTACATCGAGCGCTCCGATTTCCGCGCCGTCGACTCACCAGACTACTTCCGTCTCGCCCCCGGAAAAACAGTCGGTCTCCTCAAAGCCCCCTACCCCATCACGGCAACCTCCTTCGAAACAGACGCCAACGGCGAGGTCACCTGCGTCCACGCCAAATACGAGAAACCCGCCGAAGGCGAACCAGTCAAGAAACCAAAGTCCTTCATCCACTGGATCGGCGAGTCTCCCGCGCACAACAGTCCTATCCGTGCTGAGGTCCGCGCTTTCAACTCGCTCTTCAAGTCTGAGGATCCATCCGCCCACCCCGATGGTTTCCTCGCCGATATCAACCCTGACTCGGAGGAGTTCTACAAGGATGCTATGGTCGAGACTGGATTCCGGGATATCTCGGCCTCGGCGCCGTGGCCTAAGGAGGAAGGCGCTGCCGAGCCTGGTGAGAATAAGCATTCTATTCGTTTCCAGGGTATGCGTGTTGCGTACTTTGCTGTTGATCGGGAGTCGACGGATGAGAAGTTGGTGCTTAATCGCATTGTTACTCTTAAGGATACCCAGGGTAAGAATTAAGTGGGATTAAGAGATTTCTTTCCTTTATCCTTGATTCTTTTCTCTTTTTTCCTTCACTGTTCCCTTTTTATATACATGGTGGAAGTTGTGGGTGATGAGCCACGGTTGTTGGTATGGATTTATGACCATTGCATCTTTGCGTGTTTTATCTTTTTCTTTTCGGATCCTGGGGACTAGGTTGTGGTATTCTGCATAATTGATAAGTTACAATGCAACAGTGATCAACCAGGATTTATAAATATGTCTACGAGTACTTCGTTATAGACAGTATCGTATGATCAAACACTACTTGGAAGATGTATAAAATCGTAAGAGGTCTACGCAATCCATGCATAACGAATTAACGGCTTTCAAGCCGAGAGCATACATACACGAGACGAGACGTCAGAGGTAACAAAGGGAAAAACGTGGATGGATCTGGACATAAAAAGCAAGACGGTCTACCCTAAACATAGATGCCCATGTTGGTATCTCTCTTCTTAGCCTGGACCTCGGCGATAGCATCGACGTAGTTCTCATGGCCGATCTTGCTCAAACCCTTCCGGAGTGCAATCATACCAGCCTCAACACAAACGGCCTTGAGCTGGGCACCACCGAACTCGTCCGTGCTGCGAGCCAATTCAGCCCAGTTGACGCTATCCTCAACAGACATCTTGCGCGAGTGAATCTGCAGGATGTTGGCGCGGGCTTCCTCGTTCGGCAGGGGGAACTCGATCTTTCGGTCCAGACGACCGGAACGCAGAAGGGCAGGGTCCAGAACATCAACACGGTTGGTTGCTGCTAGGACCTTGATGCGGTCGTCCGAGGCAAAGCCGTCAAGTTGGTTCAGGAGTTCCAGCATGGTTCGCTGCACTTCACGATCTCCGGATTTCTCTGAGTCGAAACGCTTGGTACCCACGGCGTCCAGCTCGTCGATAAAGATGATAGAGGGAGCCTTCTCCTTGGCCAGGGCAAAGCAGTCGCGCACAAGCTTGGCGCCGTCTCCGATGAACATCTGCACCAGTTGGGGTCCGGCGAGCTTGAGGAATGTGGCGTTCGTCTCGGCCGCACAGGCACGGGCTAGAAGCGTCTTACCGGTACCTGGGGGTCCGTACATCAAAGCACCTGCAGAAGGGAACCGAATACGTTAGATTTGGAGTACAGAGGAAAGGAGAAAGTAACTCACCCTTAGGGGCCTTGATGCCGATTTTCTTAAAGCGCTCTGCCTCCTTCATAGGCCATACGATGGCCTCCACGATCTCTTCGATCTGCTTATCCAGACCACCGATATCTGTGTACTTCTCCGTAGGCTTCTCGTCGACCTCCATTGCCTTGACACGGTTGTCATACTCGGCAGGTAGTGTGTCCAGAATGAGATATGAGTCCTTGTTGACACCAATCAAGTCACCGGGCTTCAGCGTTTCATGGTCGACAAGACCAATGAGCGGAAGGAAGATCGTCTGGCGGGTGGAGGTCTTGATGACAGCGGATTTGCCTACGCGGGTGGCATCCAGGTCGATATTAGCCCCTTCCTCAGCTGCCTCTGCCTCCACATCAAGATCCAATAGCTCAACGACGTTTCCAACAAGGTATGGTAGTTGTCTAGATAGTTGCGGATAAAAATGTCAGTGGTCTGTTGAAAGCAAAGTGTCTTTTCGCCGATCCGCAAGCCGACTACCAAGCTCCGCGGGCTTGCAGAATAACGAATACGGGGACCCGTGAAAGCACACCTGTTGTTCTCAATCTTCTCTTGATTATCCTTGACCTTCTCCCTCATTGTGCTTTGCTCATGTGTCAAACGTTGGAACTCGCTTTTCATGATTCGCATCTCGTTCTCCAGCATCCGCCGTCGCGTAACGATGTCTGTCGTGCTTGAGTTCAAGATATCCTCGTCGAGCATCTCTTCTTCCTCATCTTTTTTGTCGGCGTCTTGCATATCGGCATCGCCGTCGCCTTCAGGCTTCTTGCCATTGCCATCGTTCTGGTCTTGCTTCTTCTCTCTCTGCTCCTGCTCAAGGTCGTCGAGGTCCTCAAGAGTCGACATGGTGGAATCGAGAAATTCGGAATTATAGGATCAGGTTAATAAAGAGTTTGGAGATAAAAAGCCAGCAGATCGATAGGTTGGAAAAGGATGGGGGAGGATGAGACAAGGTTGCTGGGAGGAAGAGCTGTTGGTGGCCGAGCTCCAACAACGTCAGCCATAGAACGTCACGTGATGTGATCTACGTTTATAATCCATTGCGATTCGATTCTATTTACTTGATATCGCTTTTGTTTTGTACAATGTGGAAATTTTCTGTCGATTTATCTTGTATCAGGTACCACATATTCTAGATATACCAATAAGGATTATTGGATTGATTTCGGACGTTGCCCAGATTGTCCAGCACCGCTTTACGGCCGAACTTGAGTAGACGAAGTCGAGAAATGTAGTCATCGTTGTTGACTAGTACTTCGTTAGAGAATAATGAAAGGGTTATCAGATAGTACATACCGTAGCCACCACACATTCGCCTCTTTCCAGTGAACTCAGAGCGGCCATGTAACATTCTCCAGTTATCGAAAACTAAGACAAACATGTAAGCCGAAGTGGTCTTCAAAATGTCACCGAATACATACTGAGCGCCGATCCTGGTTGTAGCTTCGTCCACATTTCTCTGCTCTTCAAGATATCGTTATAGTGGCGCGCAGCACTGTACCACATAGTCTGTTCCGATGCCGACCAATTGCTCTTTGGCGCACGATCATAGTTGTTCCAACGGATCTGGTACATTGTGTTCAAATCCGAGTGCATCGAAAATACCGGCGCCATGGCGGACGGTTGGATGCATGTGTCTTCGTTCCCGCTGGCGTGGAACGGTTGCCTTTGATTTACCAATTGGGCATAATGCTCGGGGTTCTCGAGGCGTAGTTGAGCTGCGGCTGCAAATCCGTCAACTAGGAGATTCTCCCCTCCAGATCCTTCGGTATGAGATAGCAGATGGAAGAGCTGAAGTCTTGCAGGATCTGTAAAATAAGTATTGTCTGTATGAGCACCCAGGAATTCGTTTGTGTATGCCGTGTCTTTAAAGGTCAAATCGGCTGTAAAGTCCCAAAAACCACCTGAAGCTATGTTAACCGAATGAGGCATTAGTGAATCGTGGATCTACGGTACACACCATAATGGGTGTTCCTGATGAATGCAATCCGCTCGATGAGGAATTGGGTCGCCTCTGGATTGATAGGAACACCGTCTACAAAACAGAATCCTTGCTCCCACTTCATGAATTTTAGCAAGTTTGATCAAGAAGTCAAGACAGAGGGGCTTACGATATGGCTCAGCCAAACATGAAGAGATTTATCGTCTGACATAACATCGTCATATTTGACTCTGGGACTCTGGTCTGGTTCCACGACTGGGGTGAAATGCCTTCTATGGCATCAACATCATTCTGTGACTGGTTCTTTGGCTTTGAGTAACTTACCTGGGACCTTGAATTTCTGGCTGGGATTGTGGCACCGACTTGGTCTCTTTAATAGATACTCCCTGCGAGTGTGCACGAAGCCAATCATGCGAATAAAGCGCCATGTGGTTATCATACCCTATGGTGGTGTTAGTTCTGACAGTGAAATCCTCAAAAGTTATGTATGCCGTCTCTCACACTTGATATTGACCATGCTGTCACTGTGTTCAATTGATTGTATCTTAACATTTTGCGGAATCTGCGGGGATAGGATCAGAAATCGTGCAGCCATAGGGAGTTGTGAGCTTGCCTACCGAGAAAGTGTCACTTATCCTCTGCATCGTATCAGGGTGAATACATTTGGGACACTGGCAGTTTTCTCTAGTCGCAGGCATCAAGTTGTCAATGAGAGGTTAGGCTTCTAACTTTGTGTGTTTTGGTCACTAACCTGAGAAAAAAACGACCGCTGTAGAAAGCCAATTAGTTGTTATTCACCTTCGGAGTTGCAAAAAACTTACAAATTTAACGTGCTTTTCCCATCTTTCTCGTCTTTACATGGGAATGTTACTATATCGGGCCTGGACCAAGCAGCCTGATGACCATTGGGGCCCTTCACAGTATTCAGCAATCTCGATGAGCCAGGTGTGACATGTCGGTAGCCAGTCGTCTATGAGAGACGAAACAAGGAGATCTGGTTAGCTTTTTTATGATCAAATTGAGTGTATAGGTATCATGTCCAAAATTCATACCAAACGACCAGCGGGGGAATAGCGGGGCCTCAAGCTCTTTGGCCTAATTCGAGAGGGTTTTAGCGTTGAATGTTCAATAACAGAAGAAGATCTTACCCCGTGCGAGTCCATAGCCCACTCGACCTGAGTGCTGTACGCCAGCTGAAAATCATAGCTAATATGGGGAACCAGTGGTTCTAAGGACACAAGGAAATAGTATGGAACGATCCGGGGTAGCAATTTAAGGATCCGGGCAACCGAGGTTATAGTCACGTGCGGGTATACAGAACTATAGTGGCATAAATAGCTTAGTACTCTACAAAACTAGCATTCGGCGCTGAAGGTACTTGGTAAATATGCATTTTGAAACACAAACTATATGCAATCTAACCGAGATTTGGTGTTAACACTCGTAATCACAGCTTGCTCTTCGTGCCTGTAACCTTCAACAGACAACGCCCATTGCTCAACACGACCCGACCCTTGTCATTCTTAGTAACAAATCGAATCTCTTCATAACCGTCTTGAACATTGCCCATTCTCCAAATCTCAGTGGTAAGCTTATCGCCGGGCCGGACGGGTGAGGCAAAACGAGCCTGGAACTCCTTCATATTGGCAGGGTTGCTACCACCCAATTCGCGTAGAATGCCATGGGCAGCAGAATTCCAGCTGAAAAGGCCGTGGACAATAACACCACCGAAGCCCATCTTCTTGCCAGGCTCCGGTGTGGCGTGGAGAGGGTTGTAGTCACCGTTGAGACTAGTCAAGGAGTTAGCACCAGACGTGTCGAGTATCCACTTTTATTCAATGTTATAGAGCTGATCGCTGTATGCACTTAGTACTTACCGGTACAGGTGGGCTGTCTCCGAGTTGCTCTGAACAACATGGACAGCATCGGGGGCCTTGCCTTCCGGTGGGGGGTAGTTGACGGTGCTAGGCCCTGCTCGAACGCGTCAGTTGATACTTCAACTTCACAGTGGGAAATTAAACTATAATCTTACCCTTCGGGCCACCCCAGCCACCCTGTCCGACCAGGAAACCGCTACTCACGACCTTGGTGTACACCTCGCCGCTCTCCTTATCCACAATGGACTGCTCGGTTTCGATCACAGTACCAGGCTTGCCTTTATCATAGACACCAATAACCTTATTGCGGAGCTCAAACTTGCGCCCTGCACTAGTGGTAGGGAGCGGTTTCAGGACCGTGAGCTTACGTTGGCCATCGACACCATGACGATGGTCAAGGTCGGGGACGCCTGGGATGTGAACTGCCTTCTGACGGGCATAGAAATCAGTCACCTCTTGGTCGGTGAGCTTGAATGCTAATGGGTTTGGAGTTAGTGTAATTGCTCAAAATCACCGGGGTGCTTAACATACGGAGGATGAGAGAATAGGTTGGGAAGACCGAGAAGTTCGGGTGGAGTTCCTGGATACTAGTTAGATGGTATTTAGACTGGCATCTATGTGGCTGGCTTACATAGAGGAAGTGTAGCTCATCGGCCTTAATACCAATGCTATTGGCGAACAATAGCACATCGCGCTTCTGCCAAGAGACCTCTTGGGCGGGGAATTCGTGACCAGCTCCAGGGGCTGACATTTTGATGGTAGTATAAAATAATGAATATAAGATCAGATTAAAAAAAAGAGATCAGAAGTTAAGGGGGGAAAAACGGAAGGTGTAATGGCAGATTAAAGTAGCTCCAGTAATTGCGGGGGCCACCAAGAAGCCGAGGATCTGATAATTTTTTGCTGCCGTGGTTTTACCGACGGCATCTCCTTGGCGCAATTTCCCCTTGCAGATCTTATGTTCTTCAAAGGTTATAGAAAAGTCATTTGCACACCTTTTTCTACGTTTTGTTTGCCGTCGACCTATATAAAAAGAACGATATCTAAGAAGACTACTAATGACCACGGAAAAGACTACTGGAAAGATAGCACAAAGCAGCTTATGCAGCCGACTATTCTTGTTGACTTTAAGCCTAAAAGTCTAACCGAATCGTGACTATCGTGACCACCTTTCGTTAAACAGACTAGTGGCAAATGACAATTGCTGGGCTATACCGTGGCCACTACCTGCAGAATCTCCTCTATGCTTCTATCTCTAGATCTACTCGGGGACCTTACTAACCCCAAGCCATGGCACGGACATCCACACGCTACAATTCGACGAGGGATCGCCGTGTTGGGAAGTTCCCGCTGTCTTACACTTGATCGTGCCACAATCAATAGCTATGCTACGTGATTTGTACTTTGACGATGGGAACCTCATCCATCCACACCTCGTTCAATTCTACCGCTATCCTCCACCAAGTAGTAAGAGAAAGAGGACGGAGGAAGAAACCGACGACGAAGTTGGCCATCATGAGGGGAAAAGCGCAACCCGCCACCGACGCAGACAATAACCATCCAAGTCGTTGACAATTCTGGGGACATTTGTCACATTCACTCTCAGGCCACGGTCCCGGACACTGTTCTGACCGATTTGTACCCGAGTACAGAATGGGTTCTTGGGCCAATTTCAACTGGAAATGATACAACCAAGCGGTTTATACCTTTGCTAAGGTCAACAGACATTACTATATACGCTACTCGGGTGATAGCCTATCCCACTCAGCACTGAAGCCAAAGCCTTGGACGTCTGGTAATTTTGTTGAAGAAGGGGGAATATAGAGAGGGGAAAGAAATGAGGAAAGGGATATAAATACCTGGAAGAACACAAGAATAGTGGGCCGCATAAGCCTTGTGCCCATAATTGTTTCTTCATCCCTAACTACTCTACGACCAATGTCGAGACCCTCGGCATCCTAGATTGCTGCTATGCAGGAGAATCTCGCGAGAAGACCAATAAGGAATGCCAAGTTCTTTCTGCATACGGCCCAGATCAGACAGCTCGTGGTATAAGATCGTTTACACAGCGTTTCTTCCGTGCAGCAAGAAATCTGAACCTGCGCAGATTCTACAACAGTTCGAAGATATTATCGCCTCAATTTCTGCTCAGTTCCGTGTTGAGATCATTGATGCTTATGAATCTACCTCAGTGCTCTTCTTTCTAGCGGTCTTTCCAGTGGTCTCTCTGGCAAGAATAGTTGGCTTATACGGCCTTGTAATGTCTTTTCAGTGTTCTCCAGTTTTGCCTTTGATTTTGTGGAGACTGTTTGCCTGTCCAGTTCATTCTTCGATGAGAACGGCCTGTGTTTTTTTCCCTCGAGCCTAAAGATCAGGCTATACAGGTGTTGCCCAGGTGTCGCCCATCAAGTATGTATACAAGGGTTTCAACCCCTGCCGCCCCATTGCGTGGCACTTTTCCTATATAGGGTACCTAATAGCTTATTGTTATTATTTCAATTTTTATGCTTACATCCTAAATCCACTCTTTGATCGGAAATTAGTGCAGACAGTTTGGACTCCTATTGACAACAAAGCAGCGCACTGCTGCACCAAACATGCGAACTATTAGGACTATCTGCCTTGTTGTAGGATAGTTCACCGATCTCAGCGCAGCTCGGAGAACTATTCCCAAGACCTACTATGTACATCCCACGTCCAAGCCAACAACAATCTCCTAAGTTTTATCTCTCTAACAATTAAACCATTAGAGGCAAAACCACTCGCCGAATCACAACAAGTTCCTAGGTCAACATCATCTAGAACGATCCCAAGCCAAAGATATCCACACCTCAGAAGACACTCGAAGCCCGCCACAGTCAGACTGGAAGTGGTTGATCAAGGTGGGGATCGAGGTGGTTTGATGCCTACGAGCTCAGACAACATGCCTAGCAACTCGGCTCCCGGAGGTTTCACCCTCAAAAGGATATTATAGCACAAATGATACAAGCTGTCGCTAATGCTATTAGAAACCTCCCGCAGGGTCATCAATGAGCGGAGAATCTGATAACTTTATTGGATTTGGTCCCGTGGTTTTACCGACGAGTGCATCTCCTTGGCGCAATTTCCCCTTGCAGATCTTACATCCTTTGACTGGAAGCCTAAAAGTCTACATTGAAAACATGTCCAGAAGAAGAGCGTTGGAGTTTGCTAGACTAAGCATCGACTCGGGTATCTACCTGGAAATTCGAGGAGCTTCAGAATGATATCCCTCCGTTCGCGCCACAAAATGCCTTTTTTCCTGCCTCCCAAAAACTAAACGCCGAAATAAACAAAGGCGAAATCAGATGTCTGATTCGCCTTGGGCAATTTCATACATGCCCATGCCAGGATGCATTGCGTGACGAAAATATTTCACTTAGATCGTGCAAACGTGAAGTTGTACATCCCAATGACATCAAATTAGAAAAGTGGAACAAAATTAACACCTATAATGAATTAGTATAATGACCTTAAAACGAGGCAAAAGACCCGAACTTACATGCGGTAGAAGCAGCCACCCTCAGCAGAGCGGGTAGCATCGGGAGTCTCGAACTTGTAAGTGATGCCGATATCCAAGTCACGCTTGTTCTTATCGTTAGGACGGTTCTCGATCCAACCGGTAACACGCTCATCCTCCTCAACGGTGAGGACGTCACGGAGGTAGAACACGGTCTGCTTCCAGTGGGTGTACTTGGCGTGAGGGCCAGTGGAGAAGTGAATGGGCTTGTGGCAGGCGCTGAACTCGATGTCGAACCAGGCGATCATGGCGTGGATGAAGTCGGGGCGCTTGGCGGTAAGGGCATAGGGCACCTTGAAGGCAAGATCGGCCGTGGTGACGGTGTTCAGATCAAAGGTGATGATCGGGCAGGGATCAGTCACAAGAGCCTTCATCTCGACGGTATCGACGAGGGGCTCGTTAAGAGCAATCTCCTTCATGGGGCTGTAGTCGAATCCGTAGACGTTGTCCCAGACTGAATTTGGTCAATATATAAGAAAAAAAAGGTCCAAGGGTAGAAGTGTGTCTTACATCCAATCTTATCATCCTTGTAGTCGCCATCCTCAATACCGGCAACGTACATAGTGGCCTTATCGGGGAAGATCAGACCACCGGGGTTGAGGTAGGTGTCACGGGCGTAGAGCACGGTGTCCAGCATGGACTCGTACAGAAGGAAGTATCCCATCCACTCGGAGATAATGATATCAACCTTAGGGAAAGGAAGGTTAACTTCCTCCATCTTGCCCTGAAGGAGAGTAATCTTATCGGACAATCCATTGACGTCGACGATCTGACGGGCCTTCTCGATGATCGAGGACATATCGACACCAATGACGTGCTTTGCGCCGGCACGGGCAGCAAACCTGTCGAGGAAAAACAGTTAACAAGGGATCTGAAATCACGGGGTTGTTACCCGGATACATACATGCTCAGAATACCGGTTCCACAGCCGACATCGAGGACAACCTTGTCCTTGAAGATGTGGCGGTTCTGGTAGATGGAGTCGCGGTAAGAGCGTGTGCGCACATCATCTTTCTAGAAGAAAGAAAACGAATGTTAGAGCAATGCAACTAGACAATTAGGCAGTACGTAGCCGGTAAATTTGTACTTACAAGCATCTCCTCGTGGATACCTGTGGCGGCCCAAAAAAAAAGATCGTTAGTCAAAACCACACTAGAAATTTGCCATCACTGATCAAGATAATTTACCGTGGTGGTCGTAGCTATGGATTTATTAGCATCAATGTCCAAAATACTCAATGGATGAAGAATAACGTACCTAGTGAAGTAACGGACTTCAGAGTGCTCCATGCCAACCATACGATCAGCACTGCTGGTGATCCCCTGAGGGTTATCGGATTCGGTGTCCATCTTGACTGTGCGGAAAAGAAGAACGGGTCGAAAAGGGAGAATGGAAAGAGTAAAAAAAAATCAAATTAGGGAGGATGGTAAAGATAAAAGTCCAACCGAGATCGATCCTTAACTTTTTTTTTTCTGGATTATTTGCCCGCCCGCCAAGCTTAACTCCAATCCCCGCCCGAGCTAGCCGTATACGGGAATCACGTGTATTGCCACGTGATAGAACTTGCCCTCATTTATATAGGGCTATCTGCGTGGCATAGTTGTACAACTGGGAGGTTCTAGGGATAAATGTGTTCCTGCGTTCTAGGTAGCTGGTATATGTGTGGGAAATAGCTCTTATATCCAAGAATATCAAACACCCATTGACGATATTGATATTTAGAATAGATCAATTGCGCCATTGACTATGCCTTTTCTTTGAGTGAGCTGTCAAGAGCTCCAAGGAATAACACCCTACGACAAATATGATAAATAAGGACAAATCCACTTCAATTGTTAAAGTTGTACAAAGTAGGTCAATTGCGCTGTGGGGTAAATAAAGAACCGCTTTTGATATTGCCAAGACCACCGAGGGAGGCTCTATAATGCCGCCGGTAGCTCCGCTCCAACCTGTCATTATTCCCCAAGCTTTCGCGTTGAACGCCTAAGACCTCGGAACTAGACTGTTGGGCCACAATGAATCTAAGCGTAGGAAGAGTGAATCTCTACACTCTTTTCGCTTTCGTTTTTCTAGCCTCGCTCATTGGCAGGTCCGACGCGTCATTGGGAGACCACCTCCCCGACTTCAAAGAATGTGTCCAGGTACGACTCGGCGAACAACAAAACCCTTGGTAACAACTAACAACCATAGGTTTGTAAAACGGAAAATTGTCA